ATTCAGCTTCGATTTTTGATGTGTAAATTATACTATTCAATAGATGTTTTATGTGTAAGGACTGATGTGATAATACAAATCTTTATTTTCTATATAGAGGATGCTAATTTATATTCTTAGAAAATGATCGAAACAGCCAGATCGTTGTTAGCGGATATGTTTTCATTTTTGTAACTACAATCCCGTCCCCTTTTCCCGTATGTGACTTACCGATCTGGATTTATTACCGGGTTTGTACTATCATGAACAACACGAGCAGGATCTGCTTACCCTTCCGGAGCACCTGAGATCACCCCCAGTTTTGGTGGGGTTTGTGTCTCTAGTTTTCTGTGTTGTGTTTTGTGTGTTGTTGTTTGTCTGTTTGTCTGTTGGTCTTTTTCCTTTTTCTTTCGTTTTGGCCATGACGTTGTCAGTTTATTTTTGAGTTTAAACGTCCCTCTGGTATCTTTTGCCTCTCTTTTTCGTTCCTTTGTCAAATTTAGTAGAACAAGAAAGATGAAGGAAACGGTAATATCTTTAGGACTGAACAAATCATTATTTATTTGCTATAGGCTTCATGTGTTACAAGCTGTCAACATTTGGCATTGTGGCTTTTATTCTTTCACAAAGATAAAGTTGGGGGAATCTTAAAGAAGTCACAAACGAGTAATTTACTTTGTTGAAATGATGGTGAACAATACATGTGTTTGTACTTTAATTTTCAATCAAGTTACTAGTAAAATCACGTTCACAAAAAATGCCATGTAATCATTCTCATGTACTTGCAATTTAAATGATTGCAGATAATTAAAATTTGACTCCTTTACAACAAAAAACAAAATTATTGCATAGCAAAATGTATCCTAATCATTACACATTTAACAAACACCTGAATATCTAAAACCGGTTTTAAAGTTGTGATTTTTTGGAAAGACATGTTTCATGATCAGGTAAATCTTTACATAGTTTATAGTTGTGTATACATTTATTTTATAATATAAATCAAGCATATCTAACAAAATGCACAAAGCGCACGTTAATTATACCGTATTATCATGAATCATCACAGTTATCGTATGTCGAGCAGGAAATAGAAATAGAAGTAAAGTAGAAATTTATAATTATGGCAAATGTCCATCTTTTGTTCTTTTTACTTTACTTCCTTCAGGGTGTTCTCTAGAAGAACTAAAAAAAGTAAAAAAAAACTGACATTGTCAAATAACTTTGATTTATACTGTATGTATTATATAATTCAATGAATGAGTTCAGTTCGAGGTTTTGTTTTTGGTAGCAAGTAATCTCTTTTCCTTTGATGAAGGATACTATACAGTCAAATCGCCCCATAAATTATAATAAAATGTATCAAATAAAAGACAGTATCAATTTGGTCGTACAAAAGATTCTTGTATGAACATTTATTATCCCGCCAATATGACGAGATATGTAAACAAACATACTTCTTTTTTTATTGTGGGCTTCGGTAGTCGTGTGATATAAGTAGTTAAACTTCTGACTCACTAGCTTGTCAACAGTGAGTTTGTGAGTGGAAGGTGCGTTCAACTGTAATCATCTCAATTTATAATGATTGTCCATTTTCCTTCCGAATGTCAGTGGCTCATTCCGACGCATCTCAAAAACAAAAGCAGGCCGCCACTTGATAGGCAACAGTGCTCACAAGGGTTTAACCATTAATCAATCAATCAATTTATTCTATTGAAAATAAAGAGAGGATACAATTGAAATTATATATTACTTAAGACAACACCGTGTTAACAAATTTAGGTTTCAACTTAAACTGGCATAAATGACTAAGTACAGGTGAAAGTAGAAATTCATTGCAATTCCTTTTGGGTCATTTAGCTCTTGACGTATTCCGGTATTTATGCTTTCTTTAGTTCTAGATTTGGGGTTTAACATTTCTTAGTGAATGTTAAATCGACCTTTAATAGATAAAAACATAACTATTTTAAAGTTGATACGATATCACACCTTGATAGAGGGTTGCTACTCACGAGAAAGCTATTAAACCAAGAGTTCCAAGTGGTGAAGATGTAGTCATCCCTTCGTAAGTTTTACGGACGTCATCATGAGTAGGTTGACCGTTATGGATTATCCGTTTCACAGATGATAACGGATATGTTCTTATGTCGTAAATACAATCCCGTACCCTTTCCAAAATGTGACCTACCGAATTAGACTTATTACCGGGTTTGTAATAACATGAGCAACACGACGGTTGCCACATGTGGAGCAGGATCTGCTTACCCTTCCGGAGCACTTGAGATCACCCCCATTTTTTGGTGGGGTTCGTGTTGCTCAGTCTGTAGGTTTCTTTGTTGTGTTTTGTGTACTATTGTTTGTCTGTTGGTCTTTTCCTTTTTTAGCCATGGCGTTGTCTGTTTATTTTCAACATATGAGTTTGAATGTCCCTCTGGTATCTTTCGCCCCTCTTTTACACAGAGAATGTAAATGTATGACATAATCGGTTTAAATGGTTAATAAAAAAGATGATGGTAACTTATATAATGTTTTTCATTGTGATAAATTCCGATAGTCTAAACTGTGAAATAAGTCGTTTTTGTTATTTCTTAAGACTTTCACTGCCATTGACCCGATTAGAACGTAAGACTTTTAGCTTTGAAATTTAAAACTTATTTATTGACTAAGTGTGTCACATTTCTACAATTAATAATCCAGGCTCATTCAAAACAACTTCGTGTATCTTATCATCAAAGGTATAACAATACAGTGAAATCAACAATTTACAGATGAAGTCCAAACACCAGTGACGTAGAAAGGAGTTTTGATAATTTGTTTCTATATTATAAAAGATAAATCTAATTGCCGTTTTTTGATATAAAAATTGTCACCAAACGCTTTTACGGATTAAACTCATGGTGTTCACTTGTTTAATTCATTCGTCGTTCGGTTAGGTGTTGTCTTATGCTCGATACTAAAAACAGAATAACAATACTTTATACATTACGTTTACCTTTCTGCGTCATATTGTGCTATTATATGTTTTAGGCAGTGAATTTGTTGAAGTTGTCAGTGTTTGGCACGATTTTTTTTCTTTTCACACAGATAATGCTCGGTTAATTTTGAAGACTTTATGAACGAGTTACCTCAACAAATTCAACTGTGTTACAGTACCAAATGTGTTTGTACTTCCCATCAAGTAGCAAATAAAATCCCGTTCACACAAATAGGCTTGTCAACATTTTAATTTATTAACAATTTAAACTGTCACACAAAATACAAGTAACTTAAAAAAATCATTTTAAAATTACTTCTTAACAAAATCATTCTTTCGTTGCACGATGTAACCCATTTATAAAACTTTTAACTTCACAAATTCTAAACATCTAAATACGCTGATTTAAATTGTTGGTTTTTGTCAGAAAAAGCCTTCAGATTCAGACTGTTCATAATGTATAGTTTTCAAATAATTGCGTAGTATAATCTATTTTACCATTCGTATTTTTTTAAATTGTTTTCAAAGATAATTGTAGATTTTTTTTAAAGCATTCAATCACATGATATAAAAGAAAAACATAACTTGGCTAACATTAATTTACTAATGGTACAATGTAAGATATATAGATTTAACCACTGCATCAAGTGTGTAACGATATTTCTCCACTCGAGACAGTTTAATTTTAATGTTAAAAGCGGAGGACTTGCCGAGCTTTTGAAATAATTAAAATTTAACTGTTGAGAATGGAGAAATATCGTAAAACACGAGATAAAGTGGTAGAATATGTTTCTCTAATGATTTTTAGACCATATCTGAACATAGTGTATCCGTCCTTTTCAAAGATTTGCAGATAGTTGTTTTCTTTGGATGTGGCGTCATCAGACATGGTTGCCTTATTTTCATGACGTCAGAATAGAAATTCTGAAGAAAAAAAAATTGACGTTATGATTGAATCCTTTGCCAAGAACAAAGTTTTCTCTAGAGGTGAAAAATATTTTTCTCACACCGATCGAGAAATGTGAAAAAGCATGTATTTACATTGTGTCATAGATAAAATTTATTCGTTCAGTGTATGTTCACTTCCTTTTGTTAATATGTCTTTTGATTGAGTTAAGCCATTTCAATGGATATTTTATAGTGTGTCTTTCTATGTTGTCATGTTACACTATTGTTTCAGGTTAGGGTTAGTTTGCACCTGTCCTAAGTCAGGAACCTGATGTTCAGTGGTTGTCGTTTGTTGGTGTGGTTCATAAGTGTTTCTCGTTTTTTATATAGATTAGACCGTTGGTTTTCCTGTTTAAATGGTTTTACACTAGTCATTTTTGGGATCCTTTATAGCCTGCTGTTCGGTGTGAGCCAAGGCTCCGTGTTGAAGGCTGTATTTTGACCTATAATGGTATACTTTTACAAATTGAAACTTGGATGGAGAGTTGTTTCATTGGCCATGTTGGCACTCATATCACATATTCTTATATCTATGAACATTAGAGAAACAGAATATCACATTTGCAGAAAAAAAAACATAAAATAAATAGACAAAAACGAATAATAAATCATTGCACAGACAATTAAAGATTGAGCATAATGAATAAACTCATCATACCAAGACTGAAATTTGGTATACCAGCACGCGTTTGGTCCACAAAAGACTCATCGGTGACGCTCTCATCAACATTAAAAAGACCAAATAGAGTTGAGGAGCACTGAGGTCCCAAAGTTTCTAACATTTTGCCCCATTCCACCAAATTAATTTTTGCGTGAACCCAAGAGATTCTGATATATCAGAAGTTCCTATCGACTAGTAAGACGTGAAATCGACTTTCAGATAAGTATATTTGGGTAGTAATTATTTGCTTGAAGGTTAAAAATAACAATGATTTAAAAAATGAATATTCCAAAAGAAAAACATATTTTTTTCATTATTCATATACAAATGCAAAATTCAAAAGAAAAGAAGACATAAATGTATACACAAAACAATTGTAAATTTAAAGAATAAGCAAACTTTTGTATTTCTTTTTCTAAAGTTCAGTTTTTTTTTTAGGTATTAAGATTTCAACGGCTAACAAATAAAATCCATATGTGATCATTTAAGGTATGTTGGTCAATATTTCTTCGACATAAAAACATAAACAAAACACATGCTTTCAAATAGTTTGATGACACTGTATTATTTCACAATAAAAGTGAGGTTAATTTGTAAAATTGTATTAGTTAATCTATTTTGAGTGAATATTTTGTGGTTTTGACAGTATACACTATCTCTTTTTTACTATTTATATATTAAAAGATAGTTAAATCAAATTAAATTGTATTTCATCAAAGTTACAGGTAAGTTTCTACCGGAAAATTTGCATTGATGACGTTAACGTTATTGTGTATGTTTAATTCAAATGATTAAAAAAATTAAAGTCCTTGAAAAGTTTCAGATCAAAATATGTCTTTACATCAAAATATAATGTTCGGGTCACACTGATACAAAATTGAACAACGAGAGAGAGAGAGAATAAGCCCAATTGTCACCGAACGCCGCTTTGGATTAAACACAAGCTGTTTACTAGTTAAATTCATTTGTCGATCATTCAGATGTTGTCTTATTTTTCGATATTAAAAAACGACAATTAATCATACATAATTATTATTTGTCTGCGTCACATTTTGTTTTTCTATATGTTTAAGGCATTGACTATTTATGATACATTTACTATCAGGCTTTATCTTTGTATAATTTGGCACGGTTTTGTATCGTTCATAAAGATAAAGATCGGTTAGTTTTAACGACTTTATGAACGAGTTAACTCAGTAGATTTAAATTTGTTAGAAAATCAAATGTGTTCGTTCTTTCTCTCAAGTTGCAAGTAAAATCCAGTTCATAAAGATCGCCTTGTCAACATTCTCATTTATTTACAATTAAAATGGGCTTACATAATAAGTCATTTGATAAATTCGTTTTAAAATAAATTCTTTACAAAAACACTCTTCCATTGCACAATTTATCCCACTAATAAGACATTTAACATAAAATAAACCTGAATACCTAACACCGTTAATTTTAAAATTGTTGTTTTTATCAGATACGTGCTCAGTGATTCATGTAAATTATCAAAATAGGTTATAGACATATACAAACTGAGCTATTTAACGATTGCGGCTTTGTTGAAATGGTAATAAACAAAAATGCAGAATTAAAATTTCATAACTATTACGTGACAATAATATAATGACAGTGATTTTGAAAGTTCCTATGGTAATTTTTATGAATTAATTTTTAATGAGTGATCTAGTTACAAATATTGACCTTCAAGTTTATAGACTTTCCAGTGCTATGTATGCATTATTTTCAAGGCAAATACTGTATACTTTGCTGATATGTAGTTGATGTTGTATCTCCAATCACTTTGTAATAATCACAAGACAGAGGCTAATTTTTACGCCATATCTGAGAAATGCATTCTAAATTTCGATTCCTCTTCGACCCTGGTAAGCTTAATCGAACAGAGTGTTGTCGGTTGTTTATGCCAATTAACGTAAGTGTTGGTTTTGGTATGTAGTCTGCACACCTTAATTTATCCACTTTTTGATGTCCACATTTTTTTTTATACTTAGAAATGCAAAATACTTATTGATGGCCTACACCCGCATTGTTTATATTTTCCCCCTTTGGTATCATCATAGTTATGTTTCAGGTCATGTAGACTCGAATCAATAATAAGTATTAAATAAGGCATAATTCTTTCGGCACATTGTCTCTGTAATGTCCAGCTGGGTCTGTTTTTTAGAATAGTGTGAAAAATGAAAACAACACATAACAATTTTCATGCGTCCGAAACGCTTTATTAGACTTACTTTCATCAGGGATTGATGTTTATTCTAGTTTCACCATGTTTGTTCCAAATTAATGATGCGAAATCAAAGCAAATATGCATCTTTTCAGGCAAAAATCAAACAAGTGAAGTCATAGAATATATCAATTTCTTTACAGATACGTAACAAAATTGTTGCTTAATAAAAAAAGTACCTATGATATAAACGTATATTTCGAGAACAGTCCGATTGTTTTTCCGGTGGTATCCAGATTTCTCAACCTAAACATTAGATTTCATATGCGTTATAATGTGATCTTTTAATGTATTATGCGTTTTGTTTTTCAAAATTGTCTTGCGTCTTATTCATATGGCGTGTTTTTGTTCCCTGTTTGACACCGATTTATGATTTAATTTCCTGTTTCACTAAAATTTGTAAAATATGTTGCACTCAAGTGTCAAGTGAAAATCCAGTCACTGATGTTGTCTTTTGTATGAACGTAATAAACGATTCAATATATTAAAATCCATGTTAAGTTTTACATTAAATGAATTCATTGCAAAAAAACACACTTTTAATAACAGGAAAATAAGCAAAGAAAGAAGGAAACAGTAAAGACTTAAATAGCAATCATGTTGATTGTTTGATCTATGTAATTTTTTTCTACAAATTAATGGTGATCAAGGATGATTTCATAATAATTTGAACTTCGCGTATATGGCCAATTTTTTTCGAAACGATAGGTCATGTATATTTTTGTTGTTGCCTTTTTAACTGTTTTGATTCGAGCGTCACTAAAAACGTTTGAAGAGGAAATGCGTATCTAGCATGCAAATTTTAATCCTGATATCTATGATTAGTTTGGTTATATATATATATATATATTTATATATATATATATATATATATATATATATATATATATATATATGTTAGATTTTTTGAATGCTCAGCAAAAAAAGCTTACCTTTTGATTCAACCATGAACTCTGCCTATCCTTAATATAAATTATAGGACAGATACTCTGCCTATCGTTTATATATATATTATAGGACAACTACAAGTAAAGCTAAGATTATGTTGATGTATTTATCATTTTCACCTTCAATTACCGATTATAGGTTTTAAAAAAACTATAAAATCTCAAAATTTAATAAAACTGTCATTTCGGGTAATAACAGCTAAAGCTACATTTGTAAGAACTTGCTAAGATGTGGTTCTGTATATTTTTCGAAATAAAGATTGACTTAAGACTGGGATAACATGATATGCGTATAAGTTATTATAAGCTGTGAAGTATGTGTATAAGTTATTATAAGCTGTGAAATAATCTGTCATCGGTGTGTTGTGTCATATGTCTCTATGTTGATTAGTTCGTGCTACAAGCCGATTTATAAGTCTCTCCCTGTTCAACTAGTTTTTTTAGTTAGGGGTACTCTTACACCACTGTCTAAGGTTAGGGAAAAGATTGAGAGATCAGCAAATGTTCGGGCCCGCGACATAACATTCGTGCCGGTCTAAAGACATGAGTCTATTATTCGGTTGATGTTGTTGCTTACTTTAACTCATATTTGTTTCTTGCTTATTATTTTATCATAAATCATGCCGATTGTGTTTTTCGCTGGAATTTATTCATATGGTATCATGTCGGTCCAGCCAAGGCTGTTAATACGGTATGAGACGATAGTAGCTCGTGGTTGAATAAAGTACCGGGAACGATAGTCTTTACATCAGCTCCTATATGACGCTGCTCGATAGTTATTGGCAATCCGATTATGCTAGTTTTGAAAAATTCCCTTTCGAATGGCTTCAAATCTTATAAATATATTCGATTTTGTTTTTAGAATATTGCCTTATTCTGACTTGCATATGTATACAACAGAAGAGAATTTGATTAGTTCAGCCAATATCAGGAGTTTTGATAAAAAAAACATATCTCCATTTCTTCCAAATTTGAAATTTATTTCGTCAACTAAAAAAAAGTGAAACAGCTCATCAAACATACCGAAGGTATCCAGCATATACTTTGGTTCGCCAGACTGACGTTCGTTAACACAAGACTTATTAGTGGGAATCGAATCTAAATAGCTGAAAAGCTTAATCAAACACAAAATTAAAAAGCAATGGAAATTCAGAAAAGATGTGTCAAATATAATTTGCGAATTCTATACCTGAAGTTAGAAAAACACATGTTTTCCAAATCACTCGATATTTCATAAACAGTACATTTACAGAAAATGAACATGATAATGACATAACAATTGATCACAAAAGCTGTTATAATTCACGAAGGCGAAAATTATATCAAGAGAGGCGTCAACCCACCGGTTGGAAAAATTCAGTAAAATAACAGGCACATAATTTATTTCGCCAGATGTACGTTCCGTCTTCATAAGCTATTTAGCGGCACTCAAAAGAAAACAGTTGGAAAGCCAAATCAAAAACGATATTAAAACATTCCCACAGAAAATTGTGAAAAGAACAAATACGACTGATACAATCTGTATCTGGTGTTCGGAAACGCTCTATTAGAGTATTTGTTTCGTGAGTCATGTGTTCCTATCAAAGTTTTACGTTTGCAGATTTTTTCTGATGATCATAGATACGTAGGATATGACTTCATTTGAAGCGTTCCCTTGTTCGTATCGTATTGTATTGTTTAATAAGAACTCGCATAATTGATGGCCAGTTGATACATATATACCCCAATAAATATCGAAGATCAAAACGGGTTGCACAGGTCAATGTGTTAACACAATTACTTTTACAGGTGTATGTATATAGTAAATGCATCACAGACTAGAGTCGACTTTATTCATTAGTATGTGTTGTTTTAATTGTTTTAAATGATCAAAATCAAAAACAAAATAATCATTAATGCAGTCATAAAAAAGTATAACAAAACCAATGAACTCCAAAGCAAATTCAAAAAGAGGAAGTCTATAAAAACGGACAAAACAAATGCTATCAATCAACAGAACAAGTTTTAAAAAAAAAACCAGCTGCAATATTCCCGACCTTCCATTTTTATTACGACTTATTGAAAACTTTAAATGTATATCAATAAAGTGTATGTGTGCTATATAGAATCTATAATTATTTCAATTTTATAAATACTCTTCTGTTCTGTTTAATAAAAAAAAATCCCCATTGGGAACTTTATCTTATATTAGTCCAACGATGACGAAATAAAAGCCCCCCCCCCTTTCCCCCCTCCCCCCCCAAAAAAAAAATACTCTGATTGCAAATTGAAATTAAACAGCTAACATACTTTTTTATATGATTTCAACATTTATAAAAAATTCCCAAACAGTGTACATTAATTACTTAATTAAAAATAAAGGTATCGAACGACTTTACTTCAATATAGCATATTTTTAGATCAAGCAAGAGCTATATGTACAGTTTTTCTTTCTATATTTGACAAAATAGTCGATTGCTTGAATGGTGATTGATTTATGCCTCATCAGAACAAACAGGCTATATTGCAGCTACAATGTAAGGATGCATTCATTTGAGGAAGTAAATAATCAAAACAGTTCAAAATCATGTTAATCGAATCATCTGGAAACTCAATACCGGAGTTCTTTCCATTTGTGTATTTTCTATTATGAAAATGCATTTGTAGCAGATAAACTATACGTCATCAAAACCTAAGATCATGCGAAATCAGTTCATTGACATATGATACAGAAACATGATATCAAAATTACGTGTCAAGTTTTTTTTTTTATTATTGTTCACGAACAGTCGTTGTGAAATTAAAGTCTTCATATCTATCTTTTACCTTTTCCATACTGTCTTTTGATTATTTAATAGTATTTTATACCCTTAAGACAACTGTGATATCAATAGAATCTGATGGAACACTTAGTACATACATCTGGATAGTGGTTTGGTCCGTTAATGTAAAAAAAAAGGGAAAAAAAAGATATGAAATAGTAAAACTGATGATGACTTTGGGAAGGTACATGGACATATGACTGGTTTAATAATTTTGTTCTGAATTGAATTGCCCTTCCGTGTAAAACAGAAAAGTAGAATGATCTCATAATGCCATATAACATATCTAACTATAACCTGTTTAATAATGAAACAATTAAACTCTTAAAAAAGTTAGTTGTCAATTACAACCTTTTCGCTTTTTATCATATTAATTAGGTATTAAGTTACATATGTTTCTTTTTGTATTTTTCAGAGTAAAGTATTATTTCGTCTGTTCTGAATTCTTTTTAATGTTGTCGTATGTACCTTCAGTAAGTTCGTTATAAACATGATAAAGACAAGAACGGAAAGAATGAAGAAAATTGTTTGACACAACATCATTGCATTAGTTTGTTCAGGATTTTCGTCAGCAATTCTCGTATGTCAAATATTTTGTAGACGCATAAGTATATTTAGAATTTTACATCAAATGAGCCAAACCATACAATAAGATACAAAGACTTGAAAAATTCTGATATGTGTCCATACCTATTGATATCAGACTTCTGATCAGTAAGACACAGTTACTTTCCTTATACGTAAGATATACACACATTCATGTGCTCACATCTACCCTTTTTGAAAAGATTTCTCTCAATTATTTCAGTTTATAGTCATTTGTCCAAGTATATCTATACAATATGTATTTACTTAATTCAACTTGGATTTTAATTTCTAGACCGCAAGATGACATAGTCTTTACATTTTCTGTAACGTTCAACTGTTGTATTCCTTTGATTTCGCAATGGTTGCGATTATGGGATTTTCGTCCTTTTACACCGACAGTGTCCTAAATGGTTTTATTTAAGATCAGTGTCACAAATGATGTTACACTTGGTTAAAGTAAAAAATCGGATATTTATAAGTGCCTTTCAGTTTTACTTGCCAAATTGCCAAATTTGGATATATTTGACCATTGTATGAATGCTTACATTGATACCATTTGTATTGGTAAAATCATTTAAAAAATTATCTTAACAAGCTTTGCTAACGTGTCATCTGAAATTAATCAAAAGCACTGTTTGTACTTTTTACATGGAGTGGTAAATATGTTATATTCCCCCTCCATACCTGTGATTATCATGATACATATTTAGGTGTTATTAAACTACTTTATTTTATTCATTGTCAAATACTTTATCGTTTATTTGTTCTGAAACTCAATGTTCTGAAACATTTTTTTGGATTTGTATAATAATAAATTAAGAATTCATACGAAACGAAAACGTTTTTTTAAACATTCTGTAAAGTTAAGGATGTGTCGAAAACATTGCAGAGGAACCTACCAATAAAATACATCGCCGGTAGACAATGTTGGCCATTGAAAGTACTTTAGAATATGGTGACACATAAAATGTTCCAACACAAAAAGATTTATGTTTGGGCGTTCAAAAACGGTAAGTGCATATCATTGCATGAACCTTTTTAAGAAAATAAATCATAATAAAATATAACATGCATGTAGTTGTTTCATACACAAACAAACATATACATTAAAATCATTTCCAAACACGACACTTTCAATTCTTTGTAGAGACTGCTTCTTACTGTCGTGGTATTCAGTGTAAAGGTTTACAATATGCAAATTGTTTTACTATATCATATGACTTGTGTTTTTAAATACAGGAAATGACGGACCAAGAAGATGAAATTAGGTAACGTAATGTCAGTATTACATTATAAGACAACATGCAATGTATCATATTTTCAAACTTTAGCTTAAAATCATGTTAGTAAATAACAATTAAAGTGAATTAGATTACTATAAATACTAAAAAGTTATTTCAAATACATTTTCTTCATTACAATTAATGAAACGATCCTGTATTTTCTGCTATTTTTACTATTGACATGATTGACAAGCGAACATTTAATTCTGTCGTTCGCCTTATTTAATATCTATTTTCTTATTTTTTTTAGTCAATCAATAAACAGTGATTGTATATCATATCATCTCATAATAGAAAACTAACCTCAATATTTTTACGATTACAGACGTATTCCAAAGCGATCTTTTATTTTTGAGAAGAAATCAAATTTCAGGGAAGTTTTGGTAAGTTGTATCTCTTTACACATTTTGTACTGTTAAAATCATTTAACATATTGCTATATATTACTATATCTTTTTACTACACTATTATATATTTGAATGCCAACAAGTGTGTTTGGTATTAGTAAATGTATATCTTACGAATAAATATAGATTTTTACTAGTTTGTATAAACATAATTCTGTTTTGGTTTAATATTTCTTTTCTTGAACATGTTGAAGTATATCAAAGATAAGGAGTATCTAAAAATACTACAATCGCTAACATTTTTAATAACACAAATCGTGTTTACCATTCTATCTATAAATGTCATGCCAGAAAATTACTTAAATGTTCCCGTCTTTTCACCAACAATACAGTAAGGTCCACGTTTAATGGTCGCACATTTTCCTTTAATTTTGATATTACTTGAAAAATTAGAAACGTTACATGTTTGTAGGATCATTAATATTTTTATAACAAAAAAATGACAACAGTAAGTAAATGGAAAAGTTAGCTAACATCATTTTGAAGAGAACAATTACAAGTGTTTTCTTTCTGAAACAACATTGCATATTTTCGGACAATTTTAACAGGACGAGTTCAAAATGCAAGTTAACATGTCAATACCGTGTATGACCAACTCTTGCATTTATGACAGCCTGACATCTCCGTCGCATTGATTCAATGAGACATCGAATGAAGTCTTGATGGATGTTGTTCCATTATCTGAAAAGTGCTATTCGGAGCTGCGCGAGGGTTTCCGGTGGATTTGGGCTATATCTGATACGTCGTCCCAGTTCGTCCCAAAGATGTTCGATTGACGATAAATATGGATACATTACTGACCATGGCAACACACGAATGTGATTATTCTCCAAAACGTTCATCGAAATGTGTGTTACGTGACAACAGGTGTTGTCCTGCTGAAAAAAAAACGTGGTTATTACGATGCCTTCGAAGAAACGGGAGAACGACTGGAGCCAACATTTCGTCCATATATCTTGTTGTATTGAGGTTACTATCAATAATTGTGAGATCGGTGCGTTCTTGCTCGGTTATTCCGCTCCATACTATAATTCCTTGGTGCACGCATCAGAAAACCGTTCATTGCGACTTCGCTAGAGCCTGGCTCTGCCTCGCCTAATTTCAAGTTGAATTCGATTCATCGAAGGAAAGGACTGGTCTCCATTTACGCCTATTCCATCGAATCCGTACCCGGGTTTCTTGAAGTCGCGCCTTCATGTGACGCTGCTTAAGAATATGTCCTTTCAACGAACGATGAGCTCTTAGACCAACTTGACGCAATCGGTTATGAACTGTTTGGGCAGATATTCTGTGGTTATTTCTTCAATGGGTTTGTCATGCTGTTTTGTACCGCGTTTACAAATCGATTCCGGCGATGAATAATGCGGATGTGCCTGTCTTGGCGTAACGTCGTTCCATATTGCCAGCCACTTCGGGACGAGTCTTAAGCCTTGCAATAGTCATTCTAGGAACATAAAAATGATTTGCAACCTGCATTTGAGTCATGTCTGCTGCCAACATCCATATAGATCGTTCCATTTCATTTTGACGTCGACGTGGCATTGACTTACGTGTAACTTAGAGATCATAACTGGGAACCAGTTTGTAAACAAAATTAATTATCTATGAATATTCTATATCTCCCCAATAGAGGCGTGGTTTGAGAAACAGCTGTATTTACAAAGTGCAACCTTAAGAAGCACAATCATCCTTTTAAATATTTAACAGTTTAACCTTTAGAAGTAGTTAATAAGCAGCTTGGGGAATCTCAATCAAAATTCGTACGATCACGAAAAATAATTTAATTAAATTGCATTAAAAAATTACAGACGGTCTTTCCTCTCGTTCTTAATGACAATATCATGGGAATTGGTAATATATATAACAGATTCTGTTCACATTTTGGATATAGTTTCTACAATAGTTCGTAAAAACCGTTCTCATTGGCGTAGAATAAATTGCAATCAAAGAAAATTTCTTAAAAACAATACAAATATTTCGGATCTAATATCTATTTAAGGTGGTACCAAACACCGTGACTAAAATTAAATGGCTTGTTTAATTTTCATAAAATTTTGACAAAATATTTACTTTGACCCTTTGACAAAAATATAAAAATTTCAAAAAACTCGGAAACATTTCATTGGATAGATAGCAGTTTGACCAACACTGATTTTGATCATTGAGAAGCTTTATATTTCCTTTACAATACAACGTGATTAAAACGTTTAGCTGATTTTACAGAGTTATCAGCTGCCTGTAGTGTTATGTACCTCCTTAAAAAAAACAGTAGACATTATCTATTAACCAAGCACTACAAAAGTCTAAAAGTCTGAAAAGACCAGTTTTTGTCTTAATTTGCATGAACTTTTACTCGACATTCTCCAAAAGTATGACTTGTGTCTTAATTTTTCTTGACAAATTCTCAATTATATTAAATTTGTATGAAATTTACTCGACATATTCTCGACATTCTGAATATGGTCTTAAAATTTCTTGACAAATTCTTGACATTTGAATACTGTCTTGAAATTTCTCGACACATTCTCGACATTCTTATTTTTTCTCAGTATGGCTTGACATATTCTGAACATTTTGAATCGTGTCTTAAATTTACTTGACAGTTCTGAGTTTTACAAATCATGACGACCAATATTCATGATATAACTTTAATCTTTATTTCTCTTTATATGATATACTGTTGTTTCAAGTTACACTTCTTTACAACAAAAATAAAAGTTGGGCATGTAAAATAATTGAAAATTTGGGTATATAAATATTTTTACAAATGCAAATATGGCTAAGAAATCTAAAGTATAAAATAATTCAAATGTGGGTGTGTTGATATAAAACAATTTCAATGTGGGATTTAAATAATTACAAATTTTGATTCCTAAATCTTATAAATTAAATGATTCAAACCAATCATACTGTAGACATATTTCATTCTACATTCATAATATTCAATGTTGATATGGTAAATAATTATTATACCAAAATGTGATTTATATAAATAGCAAATTATGATGATATACAAATCATTCATTTAACAGAAGAAAAATTTGTGTAATGTCATCTGTTGGAATATATTAAGTATAACACATGGACAGGATGTTCCTCATAAAATTAAAGTATTCCACACCCCAGAGTACACGCAACTGTCAAATAGAAGTTATTGCTTTATCTGTAATCAGCCATACAACTTATCAGTTGACCGACCATGCCACTTCAATTTAAAAAGTTTGTTGATAGATGAAAATGAAAATCATCATTTTGATGAAAAAAAATTGAATTGAAATGGATTTTCTTCATCAAAATTATTTTGACATAAAAACAAATTGAATAATTCCCAAAGATTAAAAGAAAATTATTATCTACTCCAGGAAGAATAAAAAAATGTATTTATAATGGGTCCCATCAATGATTTCTATAGAAATCGTCGGTCTTATGAAATGGTTCTCAAACAGACATGCATAATATAGATCTAAACATTTTTTTCTTTTCAGGAAGGAGTTATCACAAATATATTTTTTGGATAAAAAATTATAAAATTCAACACTCAAATTTGAATAAAAAAATGTTTTTGGGTTGTTCTAAAAAATAAATAAGGTTTTTGAATCAAGATGGGAAAAAATTCTTTGACCTAGACGAAAGCCCCCCCCCCCCCTCTTTTTTTTAGCAACACAAACCCAAAAGATGAATTGTGGGATCCAAAGGAGATACAAGACACCTATTTTAGTAAAGCAAATTTGACTGGCAGTTTTGTGAAAGGCAAAAATCTAAATGCTGTTTGTCAATACCTTCGACTTATATTCCAAGTGAAAACAATTTCTTAAATGTTTAATAAAAATAAATCAAAATTAAACTACATGGGGCATTATTCAGGGTATTCCAACTTAGTTGCACCAAAAGGGTATCTTACTATACCAAATTAATACTTGATTCTTCAAAGTTTAGTTTAGCCATAATAAAAAGGTGTATATAACAGCAATAGAATGTCATAAACAATGCAGATAAAGTCTGTTCACATTTCAGGCGAAATTTATACTGTTGAGACAGTGTCAAGACATATTTAAGACTGTCAAGAATGTGTCGAGACATATTCAGACATTATTTAAAATGTCAAGAATATGTCGAGACATATTCAGACATTATTAAGAATGTCAAGAATATGTCAAGACAGATCGAGACAAATTTAAGACAGTCAAGAATTGGTCGAGACTAATCCAGACTCTTATCAGATGATACAGGAAGTGTCGAGAAATTTTAAGACAATGTTCATACTGTCAAGACACTTGTCGAGCAAAATCAAGAACCTTTTTAGACAAATTCATACTATGTCAAGAATTTTTTAAAATTATTCAGATAAATTAAGAATGTCGAGTAAAAATTCATGCAAATTCAGACAAAAACTGGTCTTTTCAGACTTTTTGACTTTTGTAGTGAAGCTATGTTCTTTGCTTATTAATAAATTACATTAAACTTTGGAGGAATGCAACACAATTCCATATTGCAGTCCTGAGTATGAAATCGTCCAAATTATAATTGTATATTGTTGTTCTAAATTGTTTCCCAAAATTTATCGACCTGAAGATAACAAAAAACATTTCATTAAAATTAAATATGTCAATAAAGGTTTTGATTTTAAACCTTCAATTTAAAAAGGTCGGAATGCGAACATGTATATTCAAAACATTTACTAAATTAAATATACTAAAGGACATCATTCGTAAATATAAATCAACATGCAGAAATCTTATACGTTCAGGTTATTCACATCCAATATTTTATGATAATATTCTTTACAAAGCACAAAAATGTCGGCATTCACCTCAAAAGCTAACATAACCTTTAAACATTAACATCGGAAAAGGATATATTTACGATACTGTTGTCAGGTCATTAATGATTGCATATTTTGGTATTAATATTGATTCACTAATAGGGTCATAACATCAGAAATAAACACATTTATTCTAAAACCAGTTGTCGGCATGATACGGGTAATGTTCTTCTCATATATTTTATAAAGGTATGATACTAAACCCCTACCGGGAGGGACTGTACTTGATTTTAATATAATAAAGACATTATCTTTCAATCAGTTTAATTGAGGTCTTGAGCTGGCATGTCAGTAACTGCTAGTAGTCCTTTGTTAATTTATGTATCATTGTCATTCCTGAAAATGGACAAAACGAGCCTTTTGTAATATGTTTCCTAGCCCTTGTATCTAATTTTTTTTTGTTATCTAATATTAGAATGAAGGTATATTGTGGACTGTTAATGAACTCAAAATTTGTCAAATTTATTTATCCATCTAAGTGTGCTGTCAATTATAATATCTTATAATTTTTCACATAAAAACTTTTTATTCTAATTCGGATTTTTTTGTAAATGTTGTTCATAATATAGATATAAGAAGATGTGGTATGAGTGCCAATGAGACAACTCTCCATCCAAGTCAAAATTTATAAAAGTAAACCATTATAGGTCACAGTACGGTCACCAACACGGAGCCTTGGCTCACACCGAACAGTAAGCTATAAAGGGTCCCAAAAAATTACTAGTGTAAAACCATTCAAACGGGAAAACCAACGGTCTAATCTATATAAAAAACGAAAAACGAGAAACACTTATGAACCACATCAACAAACGACAACTACTGAACATCAGATTCCTGACTTAGGACAGGTGCAAACAAATGCAACGGGTTTAAATGTTTTAATGGTACCAAACCTTCACCCTTTTTCTGAAACAATAGTGTAACATCACAACATAGAAAGACACACTATAAAATATCAACTGAAATAGCTTAACTCAATCAAAGGACATATTAACACCATTGAACATGCACTGAACTAATAAATTTGACCTATGACACAATGTAAATACAAAATAAAGTCTGAATTGATACATTTTGCTTTGTTCCAGTTGTAGATTATTTTGTTTTATATGCATTGATAAATTTAGAATTGTTTTTTGAACAGCTCTTCAACTCTGCAGACATTGTTTTGAAAATAATCATTTATATATCATGTGTATGATATATTTTCTATGTGTTCCATAATGTTCGAAAATTAGTGTCATCACTAAGCATTTTTCACACAAGAAAGATATTGGTCACTATTTATTATTCTGTTGAAGAAGATATACCATGAAAAAAAGATGCCAAAAAAAGAAGGAGCGCTATATTCAGGAATTGTGTTATAATACTAGACTAAACAAATGCTTTGTAAATGTCAATGTTTGGTAACTCATTGTCAAGCAATCACTGGTGGTATAGCAAGGCATGCTAGTAACCGCGCATCTGATTAAATCGGCACCTGTACACACGCATCAGGTGCCGATTTGGCTTATATCAATAGTAGGTTATTCGTGTATTATCAAATCATTTGTTTACACACGCGGATAGTTTATTACTTTTTAATACTTGCCATATTACATCAATTAGTTTTATTTGCCAAATCGCAAATGGGTAGTCTCAATTTAGGGTCTCGTAAAAAGGAATGAAAGCCTCGACAGTTACAAACAACGAATTATGTACATGTCAGATTATAGGAACTGATGCCCATGAAAAATATTCATGCATGTTATATAAATCACCATCATATGTTATCACAATCATCTATATAAAAAAATGCGTTTACATTGTAGTAGATAATATATAACACATTGGTTTTTTTGCAGTATATTGAAATTCATGACAGTGTCAGACGGAAAGAACTCTTGCAACGCAATCTGCCTGAAAAATGGAAAATAAATTCACCTGAGGCAATAATATCAATAACAGGAGTAGATCATCAGTTCAACATAAGAGACAAGTGTAATTTGAAGAGAGATTTGATTGAAGCAGTCATAAATACTGGTACATTATTGAAATATATCTAAATTTTAAGTTCCTTGTGAACATCCCTCGCACCTGCAAAACTACATTGGTGTTTTGGCATATTGCTTTTGAAAAAAAAAAACCAATAGCTTGTCATTTCTAAATCCAAATAACCCGTTGTTACAATAATGGCAGGCCGAAAGATGAATACTTCAACTCATATTAAGTAAGTTATCAATATTCATTTCAACAGCAGGCTATTGTCATGAGAATGCGAACTAGGTTTGCCAAGCCTTGTCTCAGTTTTGAAGAAATAACAATTACATCAAGTAAAATAAGTATATAAAGTGTTTCTGTTAATATATGTTGTTATTATAAAAATTTACCCTCTTGTTTGAGTGTTATGTACCGACATTAAACTACTGATTTGTTGTAACCTGCATATGGATAGTATTACACATATTGAAAGTTTTATTAGTGTACTCTTGCTTGAACGTATGTCATCAAAACTAAAATCGGATAGCATTTCCACCAGGCGATAACTTATCATTTTATGTATTGTTTCCTTTTTATGATGATTATCAAATACTTTCATTGAATTGAAAATTTTAATCATATGGAAACTAAATAACAAAACACATGGCGAAATTCACAAAAATACTTTGATTAAAGTGGTGAGTTTCAAAATTAGTTATTTGCAACACACAGTTTCTATTTAAAACGCAACTAGTTCACGATTAGTATTGAAATACTGTTCGACTTTATCTGCATCATTACAAACGAAAAAGAATTCATTTATTTGAATATTTTGAAAACATAGGTTTTTTTTTAAATGTTTATGAAATTATACGTTATATGTATATACATACATTAGGGAATATATATGAAAACTGATTCTATTTGATTAAGATGAAAATCGGATCGATTAGGGAATACATATGAAAACTGATTCTATTTTATTTAGATTACTAGTAACATTTCGTGAGAATCGGATCGAATTTAACAGTGTGCATGAATTAAAGGTGCTAATATTTTCTATTTCTTATATTTTGTGCGCACATTATATATGAAGTATAGTAAGTGCAATTATTAGGTTGTGGTTTAATATGAAATTCACAAAATCAAAATGAATCTTAACAAGAAAATGTAGTCTACTTATATCTCTTAAATAGCTCACCCAAAGAGTAAACGCCCATTTACTACGGGCAATTAAATGCAATGGTATGTTTTATTTTGATATTGCAGCAAGAAAAGTATTTCACAAATTGACAGCTTAATAAGTCTAAAGTTACTAAAACGTATATCGACAACAATAACATCATATCAATTTTAGTTAATAATAGGTAAATATTCTGTCATCATTAATTAAAGGTACCAACATTCTCTTTTTTATATTACATGTATTATGTACGGGAATTAAATGCAGATTTTACTTAATACTATTAAAAGATTGTGGTTTAAAATAAACAATATAAAATCAAACGTAATTTTAACAATAAAAAAAAATTCACTCGTACGTCCGCATATAGGATCAAACTCTAAATTAAATCCCTGTAAGTACTGACTTAACTGATCCGATGTAAACACGTGATTACTGGGGAAAACACCAGGGATTTCTGTTTTGACTGTGTTAAAATAATTATATTAAATGCAAGTTTTACCAGAAAATGCCAGTTAACAAACAAAATATGTACACGAGAGGTTAACATGTGTTTTTGTACGTTTTGCTTAGTCTGTGAAGTGATATTTAACGACCCATTGATAAGTTTGACAAATCAATCATCAAAGTCAATGTTTCGCCATTCAAAGTATAATTACATCTGTTGACACTCATCATATAACACATTTTTTTAATTTAGATAAACAATATGCACGGCATCTGGTTCATAACCCTCATCAGGTATATGCGCTTTACATATGTTTGAAATAATGAATCAAATAGTCTGCATTTCAACGTGAAGACACAGCATTCTGTCATATCAGTTACAGGATCGATGGAGTAATCCTATATACTGTAAAAGTTGAGCAAAAAAATACACATTAAGAGTATTCGATTGGATATGTGCAGGCTAACGAAAATAATGTCAAAACATATGGTCAATAAAATTGTTAATATAAAAAAGAAGATGTGGTATGATGGCCAATGAGAAAACTCTCCACAAGAGACCAAATGACACAAACATTAACAAATATGGGTCCCCGTACGGTCCTCAACAATGAGCAAAGCCCAAACCGCATAGTCAGCTATAAAAGGTCCAGAAAAGACAAATGTAAAACAATTCAAACGAGAAAACTGACGGCCTAATTTATGTACAAAAAATGAACGAACAACAAATATGTAACACATCAACAAGCGACAACCACTGAATTACAGGCTCCTGACTTGGGACAGGCACATACATACATAATGTGGCGGTGTTAGACATGTTAGCGGGATCACAACCCTTCCCTTAAACTGGGACAGTGGTGTAACAGTACAACAACGAACTATAAAAATTAGTCGAAAAAGTCTTAACTCATCAGATGGATACAAATACAAATACTAGACAGAGTGGACGTGACCGGGTACTTGTATATCCCAACAACAAAAAGACACTAAGTACAGATTTGAGAGTACTCGCAGTAACTGACAGCTACTTCAAAGCCACTAACAACTAGTAAAAAAGAATCATGCATCTAAGATTACATTATCAATTATTACACATCCAACATCCAATAGATTTAGTGTAAAAACGACATAAACAGTCAGAGAAAATCATGACCTTGTGAAAACAAATATGTAACACATAAACAAAAGACAACCACTAAATTACAGGCTCCTGACATGGGACAGGCACATACATACATAATGTGGCGGGGTTAAGCATGTTAGCGGGATCCCAACCCCCTAACCTAGGACAGTGGTATAACAGTACAACAGAAGAACGAACTATACAGATTAGTTGAAAAGGTGAAACTCATCAGATGCATTTTATCCAACCATCTGTTTCCGATAAAATAACTTTCTTGTATTTTATTGAATCATAGTTGTTAAAATAATATAAATATTAAAACAAAAATCTATAGCTTTCCCACCTCAAATGTATACGCTTTGATAGCAAAATATTCATTACGGTTTCAACACTGATTCCTATAATATTTGGTTTCTATACTCTTCAACTAAAGCATAAAGAGAGTTTCACAATACTTCATTTCTGATTTCATTCAATCCTTTTTTCATTCTGATTTCGAAAATATATAGTTCATGTAACTTTTATGGAAAGTAATGCAAAAAAGTATGTATCTAGTTTACAAAATCTCATTGTGGGAACCTGATCTTCTTCAAAGTCATATGTCCGCAACCTTATGTAAAAAACCCTATGAATCATCATGCCCCAAAAAGGTGTTGAAACAAAGGTCAAAATCTAGAATGTCAAATCAAACTTTGTCCATGACTAAATTTTAATGTCATAAAACAAGGACCGCAAAAATAAACTATAGCTTTATACTATACATGTATATGGGTATTGAGTTGTCTCAACATACAGCTTATTTTTGAAATACGAGATGAGAAAACTTGCATAAAATGTGAACTTTCCTTTTCAACCAAAATAAATGTGTTACTAAATGTCGCAACTAACAATTAAGTAAAATATAATGTCAATGTTATATACGGTTTCTGGGATAGATGGGATTATTAAACATGAGCTTGACCGTAAACATTGATTCCATTTACGTTCTGTTGGACCAAGGAACAAAATCTATTTTTCAATAACTTATACGTGTAGCTTAATATTTATATCAAATACATAAAAAAGAATAACAATCACCAGACCACTTTGTTTAAAATTATGTTTTGTCGTTTTCTTTGACGGGAACGAAGGAGTAGCAACCATAAGGACAATAGTGTTCGGGGAAATGATTCCGAAAAAGAAAAGTGTTGGGTTAAGCGTTAGCAATTTCAACCATGTATACATTCTTCAATATCATATTTCAAATGTTATGCAATATCTTGCAAAACAAAACTGCCCGTAAGAAACAAAATATTAATCATATAGAAAAAAATCGTCTTTCTAAGGAAACACACAGCAAGACATACAGTAGAAGAGTTTAGCAATTTTAAGTCGCATTAAGGCCGCAACACCAATTACATTAGAAGCAATATAAGGCAACACCATAACAACATGTAAAAGGCTTTTTTCTAATTATTTGTAGGATCTTGGATTGTTACATGTGGAACAGAGTCTAAGGTTGTGCAGTTCATCGAGGACGCTGTAAATGAGCACATAACTCTACAAGACTGTCACATTCCAATTGTTGGAATATTGTCACAGAGTGTACACGAAGAAATAGTAAGCGTCTGAGCAATTATTTCTTAGAAAACAAATGCTTTTTATGTATAAAGTGCTTTCTTTCGAAAGAACGATAAATAATTCTAAGTAAAGACAAGTTTATTTCTTATTCTATCTATTCTGGTTATTATTGTGTGTTCGTTTGCGTAAGAGTTTGTATATAAATTATATTTTACGATTTTAGATTTTGTGTGTAATTAGTTAATAACATATATAGTAGTACGGAACTAATTTCATCTTTATTAATTACAAGATACCAGAATACACAAAAAGTGTTGAGCTAATGAAAGGAAATGAAACCAAATGGGTTCAAATTCCAACCAAATCAACAAAAGATGTATTAGATCCAAATCATACACAGTTTATCTTCACCAAAGATTTTAAAAGAAAACAAACTGGAAGTACTGCTACATCTGAATGCAGAGCAGCTTTCGAACATTTCTTATCGAATATCAGCATCAAAGATACAGGTATTATAACTATTTCTAATAAGAAACGAACTTAAACAATACAAGGATGGAAAATGACTGATAGAGAGAAAGCAGGTGGCTTCACTCGATATGTTACGCATGCATTCGTCTCTTTACGCACACATAACATTACACCAAAACACAAACATTTAAAGCTGTGATTATTGATCAGAAGTATTCTAGATTACTTTCGGGATTTAGTTGCGTTGATCCATGAGTGAGTAAAGTATCACTGTTGAAAATAATTCTAAAGACCTGTTATATCAAAAAAGTCATCGGTGACCAAGTGGTCTCAGTAGAATAACTTCTGTATCACTAGCCTGTTAACATTGAGGTTGTGAGTATGAATCCTGCACGTGGTAGATATGCTCGACATCAAATTTGATGGACAAGGATTGTCAGTTATGCTACAGAAGGTCAGAGTTTCTCTCCGGGCACTTAGAATCCCTCTGCGAATCGAAATTGACCATCATGAAATATCGCAATAGTGCTGAAATACCGTTAAGCACCAATAAATTAATCAACAATTGAAGTAATTCATCACGACATATTAACTTATGAATAATGTTGTATGTCCCTCATAACATTTCTGAGAACAACTATTTATTTTATCATTTACCACTGTCGGAAATAAGTTGGTTCATTATCTCTCAATTTTGGCCTTAAAAATCTGAATATTTAACTGTGATAACAATGCAAACATATTATGAGTACAGTTGTTAAAATACCCAATTCTGTCATAATTAATGTATATGTGACGTAATAAACGTATGTAAATTTGTTAATGCCTGATTTTCGTGAGAAGTTGACAAAATTAATGATAGTTCCTAAAAATGCACCATTGCACCCTCGCGCAGAGATATTTTGAGTATTGTTACGACCAGAAAAAGTCGACTTTTAATTGTAGTCGACAAAAGACACAAATCAATAAAAAAATTTAACAAGATTTATTATACACAAGTTTACAAGAAGTATTACACAAATAGTAATGTCAACTTAACTGTCAAAATATGAGTCTAATCTTTTATCTTTTCTTTATCCGGAAACCTTCTCGGAATCAACAGAGAATATTACGTCCAATAGGTCACTTTATGATTTAGTTTGTAAATAAAAAAGTGTCAATCCAACTGTTGAGAATGTTGATGTCTATGTCTATCTCACTTAAGGGTCTGCATACTTATATATATACTTATAACGGAAACTTCTAGATAACGGTAGATTTTTAAATTGCGCATCTTTTGTTATGATCATTCTTGAAAGCATTATGGAAGTTAAATAGAAAGTTCTAATTATTCTATGAGTATCAATGATTGTTCCAGTGATTTCTAAACTGCAAAGTTGTAACACAATATGTATTATTTTGTACACAATGTAAAAAAATATATAATAGGCCACACAAAACAAATTAGGCCAACTAAATAAAAATGGTAGTTACAATATCATAACAATATACCATAGTCTTTACTTTTCTACCTATATATCAATGTGCAAGGTGTGTTGCCAAATATGAAATAAAAAACTATGCTATAGACATTTTATAGCTGTTGTTGTTGTAACATGTATGAGGTTCTGTTCAATAAGCAGAACACTTTAGGTAAATGTAAAATATTTTGTCATTTTGAATTTTGATTTTGGTATCACAACGCTTAATAAACCGTAATCCAAAAAGTGTTTTGCTAATTTTTAATTGCTACACGATGGTAACTGAGTTGGGTTGATTGCTGTTGTGACATTTTTACGAGTTTTTGCACTTGTTTATTCGGAATAAGTTCTGAGGTTAGTTGTCTTCTTAACTGCACAAATAATGGACATGTGGTCTTTCCATATATAAACCCTTAGCGTTAACATTGAAATTTTAGTCAAGACTGGCGATGAACTCATTATATTATGATATATAATTGTACAAAAGTTCAACGTTAATGAACAATGACAGAAAATGCAAGTCCAATAATCTTCATGGATATCTAAAGTCAGTATACCATTACGTTTTGTGCAGAAGTAAATTATCTAAATCTCATAAAGATAATTCTATTACAACTGCAAAACAAATGACTATGACTTGAGCGGTCCCTAATTGAAATTGTCTGAACGTCGCTGCGACGTGGGTTTATTTATACAATATATATTACCAACCGGTATTTTTGTTATATAACTTTTTGCATAATGAACGAAATAAAGAATATACAATTGTCTTATATAATATATAAGTTATGTTCCGTCTAAATTAAATTTCTTATCGCAAATAGTAATACGATAAAGAACAATTTTAAGATACAATAGCTTGTATGATAAACATATTTTATGTTCATTTGTTTTTCAACTTACATTTATTTATCAATTAAATGCATAACACTTTATTGTAAATACTGAATATGCGCAAAATGGTTGCAACTACAATTAAAGCAAGCAACAATTTAACAATGATTTGTAGATCTAGAAAATTAAAGCCTACCTCGTGAGCATATATGAAAATAGGAAAATGTAGAAAAACCAAAATCTTATCAGACTGTGTCAAAAGAAACGCTTTTCATGTTGATCCTGTAAATATCAATTTCGAGTGAAAGTCTCATTCGATAATTTGACAGCTAAATCTACATTGTACGTTGAACCTTCAAACTTGACCAATACTCAACGCCTCCGGTGTGCACAAGAAATAGAGATATTTTTCAGGATAAAACCAAAAAGAAATAAGCAAGCATAAAGTATAATAGAACAAAAATATGATAAACAAGTAAAATGATAAAAGTTGGGACACATTTGCTGTTGATTCATCTGGCCTGAACCAATTCTACTTCCGTGGCAAAACCAGACAAATTACCTCCGCCGGCAAGGCACAAGTCCATCATTTGACTTACTTGGCAAATGGGGGACTGAACAAACTAGAAATAGAGTGTTGAAAGCTCCCTCTTGAAGGATACCAAAGAGGGAGCCTCAAACTTTTTTCATCTGTTCTTTTTGGTATGGGGTCCATACTGTTGCACAGTAGTCTAAGTTGGCAATATCGGAGGAAAAAAGTTTAGTTTTCGAAATTATAAACAAATACTCATTGTGTAGGTTAAATAGATCAATAAAAATATTAAAGTTTATAAACACTGATAAAACCTAAAAATATCATGTACCAAGTCAGGAAAGTGGCAGTTGTTATCTTATAGTTCGTTGCTGTGTGTTTTGGTTTGTTTTTTGTATTTTGTTGCACTTCAGTGTTTCAGTTGTTTCGTTGTTTTTCTCTTATAGTTGATGTGTTTCCCTCGGTTTTAGTTTGTAACCCAGATTTGTTTTCTCTCAATTGATTTTTGACTTTCGAACAACGGTATACTACTGTTGCCTTTATGTGGTACAGACATTTTCGTATGTAGAAAACTGTGGGTTAAACCTGGTTTTATGGTTAGCTAAACCTCTCACTTGTATGACAGTCGCATCAAATGTCATTATATTGACAACGATGTGTGAACAAAACAAACAGACATAATAGGTAAAAATGTCAAAAATAGGTGTACAGCAGTCAACCTTGTGATATAATCTTAATCACTATAAAAAAACAAATATGAAACAAAGAAGCAAAAAAAAAAGCATACAGACAAAGCATATTAGCAAAAATGAAAGACAATTATACAAAAATGTATTATAGCACAATAACACAATGGCGGGATGTATAATTACAGAACATACAGAGGTAAATTTATATTGTTTGAATAACAATATTCAATGAAATTTATGTAAGCAGCTAAAATATATATATTTCATTAGGATACAAATGAAAATAGCAAGAAAATAAACAGAAACTGTTGCGCATGTGTTAAACATATTTTGTGCACGTAAGAACACGGCCCAGGTTACAAAGCAATATGAGGATGTCCTGTTAGAATGAAATATGAATGCAAATAATACAAAAATCTTTGAATTTGATAATAAATATTTATCACACTCATCATGTGGTCATCAAATGTTTTGACTGTGAATCCTACCGGAATCGGAATTAAAGGAGTTCTTTTACCCATATCATTCGGTTTGTTTTTTTATAAATAGCCTGCTTTTCTTAAACTATTGCTCACGTTTCACTTATTTGTAGGTACTATGTCGAACACAAACAATGTCGAAATTAACACCAGATATGATGAAAACGAAATACAAGAAATATTGCCTGTCATTTTAGTTCTTATTGAAGGAGGAATGGATGCGTTGAAAACAGCTGTGTGTGTACTTGAAAGTGAAAATCCGGTTGTAGTGATTGATGGGTCAGGTGGAGCTGCAGATTTCCTCGCAACTTCCTATGAACGTGATATTAGGTTAACTTTGTCTTATTTCTTTAGAGTAAATATTTATGTTTATATGTCAAACGCCAAAGATCTTATGACTTGTCATCCTGTAAAGCATTTTACTCTCTCAAAAGATCGCAGGTTTCCAATTTGGATTATTCAGATATCTTTGAAAATCTTTGGTGTTTTAAAATGATCTCTCAAACATGTTCAAAGAGAATATTTAACAATCTTTTGCAATTATGTATATGAAGTTAGCGGCCAGTTCGTTATTGGTTATTCGATATTCAATATTCAACTGGATGCTAGCAGTCGGTCCGATACTGTTTATTTATCTATCTGAAATTAATAAACATTCGATAACTCATGCAATCAAAGATGTACATTCAAAACACGATTAAAAAAAAACTAAAAAAAAAAAAAAAACAAGAGTTTAAACAAACAAAAAACAAACGGCCACTATAGTAAGATTTGAAAATATAAAACTATACCACTATGGTGAGCCAGACAAAAATATTCTGATTGATTTCATATTCATAGTATATCCATATATGAGGCCCCAGGGTGTTGGCTAGATCTTCCTAATTTCACAATCTTAAAAAATTCTTTCATGCATATAGTTAGTTAATATAGAGATACAAATGACATTCAAAGAAATTTAGGTAAAGTTCTCGTCTTCTTCGTTTACGGAGAGTCCAACGTGCCATATTAATAATGTAAAATGAAAAATTACCGAAGACCGCTGCAAATATAATGAGACCTCCCTAATTGTCCATAAGATTTAATGATCTTTTAGACTATAAATACAAATCCTTTCAAAAGAAAATATAATTTTCAGTATGAAGGAGGGCTAAAAGTGTACTTTTCAGTTATATGAGTTAGATGATATTTTGTTAAATGTATTTGTTTTCCTTCAAATATATAATTATTAAATGATACAAAAAATGAATTGTCGTACACTTTGTAAATTCACTGCATTTTGTGTTATTAATCTTTTCCTAATACAAAAAAAAATGTATTTATTGCATTTGTATTATGCTTCAATTTTTAATTTAAAGCAACGATGAGACAGCAAAACCAGATGAAACACTCAGCAAATTAATCAAGAAATGCTTTGAAGACGATTCCATTCTCTTACTGGAGGAAGTAAAAAAGCTGCCATTGCATCTTTTTGCGAAACATGAACTGGTAAATATATACATTTATATAAAAGAAGCATAAATCAAAAGGAAACGATAAGAATAATACTGGTTAATGCCCAACGTGAACCTTCTATCTAATGCATTGAAAAAGCTTTTTTTTCCAAATCGAATGTTTTAATCTTAATGAGATACCACAGATTGTTTAACATATACCTTTTTCATGGCTTGTATAGCAATGACATTAAACACAATGACTACAATTCCCTCTAATTGTATTTATCCTGCTGATATATTATCGTTCGATCCTATTCCTAAATATGATGAAAGCAAGAAATGTATTTTTTTTTAATTTTTATTTATTAAGTAACCAAACTTATGTTTGGCTTATGCTTTAGGTAAAATGAACTTATAGTTGCATTTTGTTCATACAGTTTGCATCATTTCAGACAACATTAGTTCACCGGTGTTCAAATTTCAGAAAACGTTTTATAATCGTTTTCAAGTATATTTTTTCGGTAAGCTTTATGACTTATATGGGTCAGAAAATAAACGATGTTTGAAAAATTTTTGATTCCATTGTACATTTGAATATTGTTATGCATGCAGAAAAACATGTATTAGTATAAAACATTCATGTTTTAGATCAATAGTTCAACGGAGAAAGTAGCACTTATCAACGATAATTTTACGTTGTGAAGAACGGTGAACATTGTTTTTTTTATCTCGTTTCAAGTACGGGTCATATCGACTATGTGAATAGTCGAATAAGTTATGTGTTGCCTTCTATCCACTCACAACATATTTCTTGAAATATAAAGGATCTTGAAGTAAGGCTTACTCAATGGAATATCATAAATATTTTATTGCATTTCTGATGAATTAAATGTTGCATACAGCATAACAATTAAATGTCGAGAATATTTGTTAGAAACAATATATCTAAAGATACATTTATCAAAGCTCGGTCTGGTGTTGTACGTCGAACATTTTTTGTATAATTAAATAACAAGAACGGGACGATGCTTATTTGACATGTTACTATAGTCGTGACATTGATTATAAGTATTCTTCCTTCAAAAAAGTCAAATACTTTATAATCTCCCGTTCAATACAATTAAACTCCTTTTGTCCTATGCAGCTTACTTTAGACTAATTTTGTAACACCCGGTGTCCTAAAGATGCTTTTTTCAGTTCGATTCCTCAATCTATAGTTGCTAGGAACTACTCGAAAAAAATTATTGATATGTTGTTATCAAAAAGTAAGTTATGGTGGTATCCATGATATGTTTATCAGCTTACGTTTTATTGAATAAAAATAACTTGCGATCAACTTTTCTTATTGAAAAAAGGATATGAATTGGTTCTTCCGTTTTCCATCAAGTCACATCAAGTGTAAACCAAAACTTCAATAAATCTTTGTCGGTCAACCTTCAAAAAATAAATATCTTAAATACTTTATAATCTTAAAAACATAATGCAGCTTTAATTAAAAATAATTAATATTTAATATTCCAAGGAAATCAGTGTATATAAAAACCATATGATTGCTTCTGACTAAATGCACAAAAGCCGGATCCCAAAATTGCATCATTTTCTTTACCTTTGTCTACGTTTCAGGGGAGACTGCTGAAAGTTTAAGTTTCAATTTTTAACCATGGCCATGAATTCTGTAGATCATCTGTTTTTAATATTACGCTTGAAATACATGAAACGAAAAGATCCTGAATCGTTACGACTTATCGTTTATAAATCACAAATATAAGTACATGCATCCTAGCGTACTTGCTAATTTGAGGGAAAAAACACATCGGAATCTAATTGGCTCTAGACTATACCTAAGGACTGTTCTGCTTTAGACAACGTCGTGCCTAACACTTCTCATTTCATATCTGACCTCTAATTATATACACGATAACTTTATTGTTTTATTTTCCGGTACAACACAATACTAATAAACTATCAACGTTGTGACTCCTGATTGAAACACACATTCAAATGTCTTTAACATTTAGTCTTGTATAGATAAAGCAATGGTTATCTATGTGCGCACTCGTTGATAGAAATGTATAACTGTATTATATAAGAAAATATACATTTTTTATTCTAAATTCGAAAGTGGAAAAAAGGTTAAAATCGTCACATTTGTCATAGTTTCTATAAAATTAATCAGAATTTGTTCACTTGTTTGATTTTTTCCTCCTTTAAATAAATATCTTCATACATGTAATATGAGTTGGTTCACAAAATCAAATTTTCGACTCGAAAAAAATCTTCATCTTTTGAACTTGGACATATGTGAAAATTTGATGAAACTTATGGTAAACTATCCAATTGGTATAGTCAAAATGTAAATGAATTTCGAACAAACCTATTTTTTTGCATTTTTGAATAAATATATGACAGTTCTCTGAAAATTTAACAGTGGTGCCATCCATCGCCAACAAGTATATATGACGAAATGTTCTATAAATACCATATTCTTCACTTTAAAATCAAATTTTTAATTGGAGACGGGTGGCGCAACGTATAAATTATGAAACAAGATAAAAAAAAGTGTCAATTTGATTGAATAATTAAGAAGAAAGAAATTAATGTTTATTTCAGGCTAATTTGTAAATGATTTGATATATCGACTCCAATAATAAGTTTAGAAAAAGAACCTATACAGGGTCGTTTATTGGTGTTACTGGTCATTTATGAACTCAGATTAAGTTATAGAATACAAATGATAACAATAGCAATAAACGTTGACTATGAACGTTTTTTCTGTATCAATTTAGAATGAACATATTTCCTCTTTTTAGTCATAATACTGATCCGTCTTTATATTTGACTGCATCATCTAGCAAAGACAATACTATGTAGTAAAAAGTATTAGGCGGTATCATCTGGTAATAGTATACTGACTGACTGTCATTATATTAGATCGGTCGGTTGATCGATCTTTTTTTATTTCTTAACGTCCAGAGGCAACTATTTCATAAATGTTTAGGACGAGTTTGTACTGTCACGTCCAAGGTATTATTTCTAATAGTCAAAGATGAATCTGCCGAAATTATAAATTTGGTTTATACAACCTATACACCCTATTATTTATCAGGACACAAAAATATAACTATCGTTAGAGCACTCCGTCAAACATAGAATCTTTTAGACTGTTGAAATAGGGAATTAAACATGTAAAACAATGTTGTTAGAATCCCAGAATATAGAAATAACCATAAAGTGTTGGCTAAACTTTTTATCCGTTTTTAAATTCAATATAAAACTTTCCTTTGTCCTATGACACCTGCATGTACATGTATATACATCAATCAACAAGTGCGAATTTGTATAGCCGTTATCTGATAATACAAAAATGTAAAATAAACAAATCATAATGTCTCACTATCGCGAATAACAATTTTCGGTACTGGCTAAAGGAGGAATACGATTATTATGATTATTGTTAATAAAAAGGTAAACATAATAATATAAGTCTCATATGAAAAGTCAAAACTCGACCAGACCTGTCAGCTTACACATTATCAGGATTGGTCAGAAGCAAACCTTTCATATGGAATGGTCAATAGTAGACCTGTCTACAGGTCTGGCCTGGAGCAAATCTGTCAGTAGTTCTGCAGCAGTAAAAAACTGGCAGACCTGGTTACACTCTACCACAGATGAAGTCAACTTGCTTGTCTACTTAAAATGTCTTTAGTTAACTCGGAAGCTTTCAGCAAGGCGGCTCTTTGTTAACCTTTGTACAGATTTTTTTTTTTACTCCGGGTTGAAGGCCTCACTGTCACTTTGAGTGAAGAACAGCAATGAAATCACTGTTCCTTTGCTAATTGTGGGATAGGTATGTATTGATTGTGTGGCATGGACGGATACTCCATACGCTTTGTTTTCATATTGATAACAGAAGAATTTGGTAATCATTTTTTTTTAAATTAAATATGAATAAACGAAGTTGAATACCGAGTTATTTACCATGTTTACACTATCGATGACACCTACAAAGAATTATTCAGATCACGCTAATCAGATTTGAATATGTATGAAAGGTACAATTTTTCAATGAATAATCAACCTTCATTTAACTTATCATCCTATATTGCAATATAATTCAATTATCACGTATTCAAGTCATATTTGGTAAAAAAGTTGAAAGGTTAATTGGTTGAAATGATGTTTGAGATGCACTTTAGCAGACAAACCCATACCTACGTTTGTGCTCATTGTATTTTCGACAATGTTAAAGTGTACATGACAAATGTATCATTTACTACATAATAATTGACAGTTGAAACCAAAATTGACTGGAGCTACCGGTTATTCTTTCTCTGATTAATCATGATTTTTTAAATCTTTAAACACAATAACTTGAAAACTACTATTCTAATTTATCTTAAAAATGTGTACTCTTTTAGATTTATATATATTCACTGGAGGACAAAACAGCAAAGGTTGACGAGTATATTCAGAATGCTATTTTCGACGTGTATAAAGGTAGTTTTATCTTATTATTAAATACAAGTAATACAAAACCCTATCTACACGTCTCATGTTATCTATTTATTTTGTAAATGTTCTCAAAAACACACGCACATGTCATTGGTGTGAATAACTCAACTATAAGAAGAATGAATTAATTGAATGACTAAATGTCCAAAGGGAAGCATCTCATAGGTATTATCAATTCTGTGTTTGTGTTATTAAAAGAAACATCAATCCCGTTTTCATTATTAAGTTAGATAATTTTCGAGTGATTTTTAAAAGATTTTAATTCTGGACCTACTATGTAAAAATAATGAAGGTGAACAATTGCAATTTTTGCTTTTCAAATAAAAATCAAAGACTTAAAAAAAACCACTTGTTTCAATTGTTATGAAATGTTGAACATTCAATCAATATATGCTATATGTTATAGCATATTCAATCTGACATGACAAAACTACAAAATTTTATAAAATTTTCTTCAATTTACACCTACCTATATTTCTTATAAATGTTATCCTAATCGTTTAATATTCTTGCAAAATTGAACACGATATTCTCTGAACACTTTGAAATTTGAATGTTTTTAAAAACATATTTTTTTTAAACATATTCACAAACCTTTTTATTCTACTTCAAAACAGGTTACATCAAGTTGCTTTCAATTTGCAAAATCTATCTTTTTAAATAAAATGATAGATATTCTCCGTTAATGTACACGGACGGATTAAAAAGACAAATAACTAAATGTTTTTGTTCTGTATTAATTGAAACGATGCACTATTTCCATTACGGAACAGCGAATTAAATTAAATTAGTTTTCAGCTTTCTATAAAATTTGTTTGTCTATTATTACATTCTTTGTTCTTTTTCTTATTTTTTTTTAAGTCTTCAAAATCATGGTTTGTGACAAACACAGGGTTTCATCGAAAAACTAAATTCATTGGAATAATATCATGAAACTGAAAAATAGTAATGATTTCAAAGTGGAAAAATAATTTTCTCACTAGTATCTAAGAGAAAACAAAGAAGATATGCAGAAGCCATATATCGAATATTTGATTATCTGTAGTTCTATTTAAGACAAACCAGTTATCTAATGGAAGGCGTTCAAGTACACTTAATTTTCTATTGCGAAGAAGAAAAAAAAAACGTTTCCCAAATTTAACTTGCATTACTTGCAACGATCCTAATTTGTAAGACAATGAAATATCCTATTGAAAGGATACACTAGGTATTGTTCAAAGATGAGTTTCTTTACTTGGGCTGCGTCAGAAATATGAAAGTTGTAATCCATTCTTTTGATGTGTTTTGATTTTTGTCATTTGCTTAGGAACTTTCCGTTTAGAATTTCCTCGAGGTTTGGTATTTTTGTTATTTTTTTACCCGCTAATGAACTATTGCTGATCTTCCAATGATAACGAGATTTAATGGTCCCGTTATAAGAGATAACACATGTTAAGAATTTTGAAAATTTGTGAAGTGAACACGGAAATGATTTTATCAAAAAGTGTACATTCTATATCAATTTTTCAATCATTAATAATATGGACGTTGATACAATATGCCTTTTGTTAAAAAAAGGAGAAAGTTCACAAATTTTCAAATTTTACAGCATAGCCAATTTGACATGACAAAGCAACAACATTTTATAAAAATTTCTTCAATTTACACCTACCTATATTTTTTAAAAAATCAATTTATTCAGATTGGTCAACTTCATCTTGAGTGAAAGAATGAAAATAAGATTAAGAAAAAAAGCTTAATTCCAGATATGTTTTGCTCCTCAGAGGTGTAATCTGTAAAATGTCTGAACACTTAGTACTTGCAAAAAAAAAAAATTTGACAACAAGTTTAATTACAAAATACACAGATGGTACGTTGAATACATTACAGAAACTGTCTATAATTATCCCAATTAATTAATTATTAGAAAACAATTCATAAAAGATGTTGTAAAAAATCCAAATCCAATTTCAGAAATATCCTATTTTTTTTTAGAAGTTTTGCTTGTACATTCATAAAATACAAATTACATTTTTTCAGAGTTCTATGCAAAGAAACTTGAAAATTTAAAAAATGATTCAGCAAAGAGAAAACATTCTGAAATTGTGATCAAGAAACAACTGAAACTTATAAAAAAATGGAAAAGATGCGACATTGCTTGGAAAGATATTTTTATTGCTGAAAACCGAAACGGACTTTCAGATTTACAGGTATTTATAATGTAACACATCTCGAAATATCAGTTGTACTAATTTTTAAGCAAAATCAAGTGTCTTCATTTTAACAGTTTAAAAAGAGACAACAGTAGTCCATTTGAAGTGTTTATTCCTTAATATGTATACCAATGAATTATATCTTCATGCCTAACATATTATGTACTGCCTAACATATCATGTACTGTGTTACAACTTTAGATTCTACTGACGAGGAAAGGAAACACTTGTTCAACGAAAGCTGAAGTTTTAGTTCAGTCTAAGTAGCAGGTAGTCTTGAGCGCTGAACACAGTGCAGGCGGTGTTGTATCGATATCCCAACGTGCTGTGGAGTTCGATTTCCGGCGTTTGAAAAACAAAAAAAAAATGCTGCCGCAAATTTTCAGATTTAACATTGTTGTGCTGATATCTAGAGTAGTTATAAATATAATACGTGTTTTCAATGGTTTATCGCCTTCTCTGGTGATCCAAAGAATGGTTCTGTCGTAGAGTTGTCCCTGGTTTAGACGTACTCATATATGTATATAACATACACGTTTTAGCATGTGACAACCTTATGACAGATATTCTTCATCGGATAACTAGTGGTTATACAGGGCTAACTCAAGAATATATATATATATATTTCCTCAAATAATTTTAAGTAAGCTAATTATGGTTCTTCTCTCAGCAGGATTAGAACCCTTGCTTTTGTCCGTGCAACACCAACTGTACTTTTGTTCACCGCGCAAGATAATTCGACCACCTAGTCTATTATGCTTTCGCTTGTTTTATTTAGAGTTGTTAAACTGAGTATGATGTATAGTGGCAGGTAGAGAGTCTACCTATCAGATCAACTAATTTTGTATATCGTTAAGGTTAATAATGCAATGTACTATGCCGCTACATCAACCTTTAGTTTTATCATGCACGTCTTAACATGTGACAACTTTATGACAGACGATTATCATCCGAATCCATGGGGGGTAAAACAGGGACAACCCCCTAATATATAAGAAAATGTTGAAAGCATGCCATGATGTAATGATTTAGTAGGAAATCTTTCAACACTTGCCGACCTTACAGTAAACGTTCTACCTTCAGACGACAGTAAGTACACCAGTGATGAACAAATTAAAAGAAAAGATGGACACATATCTCAAAATGCAGGTCAGGGGAAAGCTGAAATGGAAGTTAGAAAACTTGGATATTTTGTACAAGGTATGTATTTACAACGTGAGATAGACATCGGAAAACAACAAAACCCTGACAATACATCAATGAAATACTTTTAAAGCTTTACCATATAAAAACAGCAAAGATGTGAAGCAAAATAGCAAACGTACTAACTATCCAATTGAGACCTTTCAATGACAACTCATACATTTTGTTAAAAAAGTCACTCGAGTTTTAGATTCATTCCAAAACCAAACAGGAACATATTTGTCCGTATCTTAGTGATTGTCAAGTGATGATAAATTAAATATATTATGTAATTGTTTTCAAATTAGATATATAGGTTCGAATAACGAATTGATAAATATGTTAGTTTAGCTTTTTGAATAATAATAAAGCAATATTAATCTTGAAGTAGATTTCTCTTTTTTTTTACATATTTTGCAACGTTTGTGCCTTCATTGACTTACTATAAGAGATAGCTTTGTTCATCGTATAAGGACGTACAGTTACCTTTGAATCGTAAATGCTTCAATATGCATACTGTCTGTCTGATTTTGTCACATCTCCTTATTGTTTTATGTATAATATAAACAAAACAATAGTTAAAATATTAAACAAACATGTTAAATACAAATCTATAAGGAGGATTAAATAATTCATAAATGGAACGAACTTATAGTTTATCAACATCCTTAATGGAGCTGGTGAGTGACAAGTCACTCGAATCGAGAAAAAAAAAATAAATATCTAAAGAAAGTACTTCCATTTATCAGTACTAACCGTAATGACGAAGACATATTATGTTTAATATAAGACATAATCATAAATGTATGACATACATTTTTAAGGGTTCGTTTGCTGAAAAACAAATTTAAACCATGGTATATGTTTTCCAATGTTGAACTGAAACTGTATTGTAGTTTATGATAAATGTACACGTTACTATCAAAATCCACAAACATTCAGCTATAAATTACTTTCAGTATACGGTCGTGAAATGTCTACTGACACTTTTTTAGGCAAAGACATTTGGATAGAACAAATTAATCAAGGCGTATTTATCGCAAATCTTGCATTTATATACTTCATTTTAAATTCTTGAAATAAAATTGCTGAAACGATCAAAATGACACTATGATTAAAGCACTATTTGTTTCACACTCTATTGAAGCAAATGTAGATTGAATATTCAAATAAAGTCCTTATCATTATAGACTTAACTGTTTCAATAAAAAAGCCTAGCATACAAAAATTAATAACAAAAGGTCATTTGAATACTGAGGAATAAAGTAAACAATACCGGTTCAGTAAGATAATTCAAAAACACACCGTTTTCAGGGAAAAATCTTTCATTTTCTTATGGTGCTAACTTCCATATTAGTAATAACATGCCATTGTATATATCATGAATAATACAAAGTAATGGTTTTTGTTGATTTGTGTTGTACGTACACATACTTTTCATCTACTGGAATTATTCTCGTAATTCCTTGGAAAACAATCTACAAAAAGAAATAGAAAGAAATAAAATTTTCAGTATCTTTTGCTAGGATACCAGTGGTGCAGGGATATGCATAGCCAGAGATGAAAACCTCATGAATGTTATTTCCTATATAAATTGTTACTTAGCTTAACTTTTTTTTTAAATGTATCATCGTTTAGTTCACCAATTGGTCTATCACAAATAATATAAGTTAGTTAGTCCTTTCCCTTGCACATCGGTACACTCTACCGGGGATTCAAAAGGAGTAGGTCCGGTAAGGGCCGATTTTGGCCCCAAATATTAGGGTCATCTGATGAAAGATTTTGGACACTTTTTAAACACTTAAGTGTCTAACTTAGTAGCTTCAATTAGTTTATGTGAAAGATTTGAACTGATTTTGTCATTAAAGACGCTCATATTCAAGCTTAAATGTTATACATCTCTCAAATATGCCATAATATGTCACTTTTCAGATGGTTTTTGTCAAAAATGAAAGTGGCCGCATCCGTGTTCATCCCCAACCTTTATATATGTTATGTATTATCATCAAATACAACTTACATGTAAATATTAAGAATGAACACAAATGCGGCCACATCCATTTAAGACGGAAACCGTCTAAAAATTAACTCAAATGCTAAAATTATGAAGATTTCAGTAATTTAGCATGACTTAATGATGCTAGTACCCGATACATATGCATTGTATTGTCAAAAACAACCCATATGTATGTAACAGAAGTATTCTACTTTCCAATAAAAACCTATAAGTTTACATTTTAACAATTTTGTAAAATTGCTATATTTTGGGGCCAAAAACGGGTCTTACTGAACCTACTCCTTTAAGACTTTGTTTGGCGTTAAGTTTATTTGTCTCTTACTAACAATCTTGTTATTCTGTAAGACAAATTTTTTTGAAAATTTTAACAGAATATTTTTACAAAGTAGTCTATGATTACTGTTTTTTTTTTGAAATATGACTATTTTCATAACAACCTGTGCAGTGTATTTTGAAAAAAAATGGTATACAAATTATACTTGATTTCATAATTTCAGGTAGTTGATCTTTGTCGTGCGACGTGAACGTAAATTCGTTATAAAATTGTGGTTACTCCCAATAATGTATGTATCTGCTAGTTAAATAAATTGTTCTGATGAATAAGAATTCCAAAAATTACAAACGCTGCATCAGTATTTGATGGAATAAAAAATAAAAACAAAAAATGAAGAAAAAAAAAAAAGATCAAAATGTGTGTTGGTCACCACATTTTGTCAATAAGAACGAACTATGAACAACTCCTACAAGTCGTATATTTAGCAATCTTTAAGAAATAGCGTAACCCACCACTCCGTTGTTAAATTTATGTACCCTAGGCCTGTCACGAAGATACCATTTATTCTTACTTGTTCCGTTGGTAGATAACGTTTTATCTGTGTAGTTCTAATAAACTTACATCTTATGAATATAACTTGGAGTTGGTATTTTTTCAGTTTGTATATTAATGCAGCGATTGATCACATAACAAATGCATATGAAGTATCAATATGAAATAAATTTAATGACCTATGTATGCACAACTCTGCAATTGGTAAGGAATTTGATATTACCATGATTACTTTGTTCAGTCCGTGCAAATCTAAAATTATATGTTTTGCATTAAACATAAACAAATGTTCACCTATTCAAATTTTTAAATTATTAAATAACTGATTACCTAGTACTCTTGGTTAGTAGTTTACCTATGGAAATGAAGAATTTATGTTTACAGAGAAAGGTTGGTTGTAAGTTCGTTCCTTGCAAGATTAATTAAAAATCAGATGTGTGTGTATAGAAGAATTTGTGGGGGAAGTTACTTTGATATTATTTATTATTTACAAGATACAAGAACGTTATAAGATTTGAGGAAAGATATTAATATAAAATTGTTATATTGATTCTATATTTATTTTTTCTTATTAGAGGAGATTAACAGTCCATTACAAAACATTTGAATATGCATGTTGTAGTTAAGACTGTAGATATAGGAAGATGTGGTATGAGTGCCAATGAGACAACTCTACATCCAAGTAATAATTTATAAAAGTTAACCATATTGTGTTTTTTTTATGTTTTCTCCGTTGATACTTTTCTTTTATGTAATATAGTTGTTATCCTTCAACACCAATTTTTTTTATTCACCTTTAGGGATCTAGAGTCAATACAGATACATTCAACAAGTTAAATGAATTTAAATTAAAATTAAAAGAGGATTTAGAGAAATTTGATAGTTTGGTCGAGAATATCGACAAGTGCATATCACAGGTATGTATTTTTATTTCTTTACATCCGAAAAATTTGAGACCCAAATAAAACCAATGCAAACTTAAAGTCAAAGTCCGAGTTAGCCTTTTCCCGCCCTATCTTATAAATCAAATATCTCGAAAAGGAGCTCCTAGACCTATCAATATTTTTAGCTTATTTTGATCCTTAATTAATACTCTTCCAGCTTATAGTATCAATTTTAGATCCTTGATTTATTTAAATTCACCTTAGATCACCTAAGTACATTATTAAGGATGTGTTCTTCTGACGTTTCAGTCTCGTTGAAATCTCGTTCTGGAATAATTTCCAAAACATGTGATAAATATCAATGAATTTAAAAAATACTATAATCAAACTTAACTCTGTAAACACAGTGTGTATTTTCAATTAGTAGTTTTTGAGTAATAAAATTTAAAAGTTTTATAAACAATCATGGCAGTCTCATTAATAGCCAACATGTAGAGAAAAATGGTCAGGGATACAATAAATGATTTTACACATGATACATCTTAGACGTATAGTGTTTCAATTATTTATAACAATGACGCTGAATGATATGCTTTTTGTTCTGAAAAAAAGAGAAAAATCTCAAATTTACAAAATTGGCAAAATAGGAAATTTGACTAGAAAAAGCAACAAAATGTTATCAGACTTTCTTATATCAACACCTACCTATATTTTTTTTTTTTTTAATTTATTCAGATTGGTCTACTGCATCTTTAGTGAAAGTATGAAAAAAAGTTTAACTGTGGAACTGTGATTTTTGTTATGATATAAGTCCAAAATGGGCAAAAATTGAAGAAAATGGAAAATTCATCAAAATTGGGTACTTTCAAATAGCCGTACCAAAAAAAAGGCGTTTTTCTTCACGCATTATTTTTTTTACAGTCATATAAACCCAACAATCAGGATAAGAACAAAAGTTTAATTCTAGTAATTGTTAGCTCCTCAGAGGTGAACATCCTTAAGTATGTAACTTGCTTTAACCACATGGAACCATATATATCGAACATATGCATGTTGCTAAATAATTTCCTTAAGTTTTATCTTAGTATTCAAACCTGGTGTTTCAACCAGACAAGGAAGTGTGTGTCCAAATCTAGACATTTGCTGGTTATCAAACACACATATATCCTGCCGTTAAATTTCAATTTTGTCTGCATTTATGTTGAGATATATTGATATGTCGGTGCCATTAAACACTTATAATTTACGTTTTTCTAATAGTTGACGGTCAAACAGTGACCTACATTTGCCAAAATCTGTATTATTTGTGTCTAATTTTATAATATTTTCTTACTCAAATATGCAAATGATAACTTTTTAACAAAAGAAATAAAAGAAAACAAAATAAAAAACAAAACAAAACACGCCAATCGAATATGCAGTCATCAAAATGTTGCTCTTAAAAATAATAAATAAATAACAACACCCGAGTCATTGGTTTATAGAACAGACAAACCATGTTCCAGATTTGTGATGCAACAAAATAAGAGCCTATTACAACTAACTAGAATAAACTAATCATAAAGATCAGGATCAGAAATGTGTACGGCAGATTCCCGTTTCGTATAAATAAAGACTCATCAGTGACGCTAGAATCAGGTAAAAATCTAAACATAGATATTGAACATCCCTTAAAAAATTATAAAGTTTATACGTATGTGTTTATGCAATTCATGATGACAAATAGACTGTTCGTTGTGACAAAATTAACAAACGTATGTTTGTATTAGTAAATGATATACATTTTCATGGACCCAGTTATTGATTACTGATTGTATCCATCGTTTTTTTTTTCGTCCTAATATTTTGTAACAATGAATTAGATGTCAACTGAAATAAACATGTACTATACTTTACAATCAATGTTTGGCAATGATAAAAATCTGTTAAAAATCATTGTAAAAAGTTAACTGAGATTTTTGTATTAGCGTACATATGATAGTAAATTATAACGGTAAAAGAGTATGTATAACATACCTTCTATTCAAACACTTACTTGTTTATTAACTTTGAAAATGTTCGTAACCTATCAAACTGACACCAGATAATCCACACCCTTAATTTAACAGTTATTTTTACAAAAATATAGACAGTTGTTTCCCAATAAAAACCTAACAGTAATAAACTAAATTATTCAATAAAAATCAAAAAAAAAAAAAGATAAACAAAGTATTTTATTATTTTCTGAGGACTGATTGAACAGTTCCAAGTTAGAATATCACAAAACCTACCGCGTCCAAGAGGACGGTCTTTTCTTTTTTTGTAATGCTTATTTTTATACAAACTAAAGTAACGATATTTTATAAAAAGTCGTGTCTATTTCCAATACCAGCAAAACATACTAACACTTTCGTATATATAATTTTAATAAGTAGCCGTGTCCATAACATGAATAACTAGAAGTAAAGTCTATAACTGGATTTGTTTAGATGCACATAATTAATCCATCGAAAAAAAAAACAACCAAATCTACAAAAAAAAATAACTAACTAAAAAACGTAACGTACTGCATGTTTGCTCTAGGCAGTAATAATAATAAAAAATGCAAAGGAGTTAGTCTCGCACTTTCATTTACTATCTTTATGAACATTCACAATTTGAATATTAATTATAGAATTCAAATAAAATGGTCAAATTACGATCGCTGCATTCGGTTTCAATTATCGTCTTTATCGATACCTGTTAAAGGCTTCTGTCTATAAAATCAGTCAATAAATCAATATTTGATAAACATTTGCGCATAATAAAAATTATATTGTTGGTTCAATTTGAGAACATGTTTTGCAAATAAAAATGTGTATTCAAGCAAAATGTTATCCATGAGCATTACCATACTTAAATTGCGATAACATAACTTGTACGTTATTTTTTGGAAATCTCTTGTATAAGTAAGTAAACATTTTAGAAATTAGTAATAAAAGAATCAGCCAGATCTACATAAATTGTCAACGTGTTAAGTTCAGCTGCGTCGAGAGGGTAAGGTTTTAGATGTACATGTATAACACGTCATTCACGAGCCGATCTCTTAAAGCACACCGTGAAAAGCATATTTAAAAAAAAAATATATTTATACTCTAGTTACACTCATCATGCTCATATCACAGTTGTTGTTATCTATCTAGTTACAAAGGTTGTTACTAGACAAATATATTTTTTTAGTTTGAAATCGCAGAACCAAGTGTCGTCAAGTCATTTACTACATCTGTACGAGGAATAAAAGAATGGTTGGAGATAACCCTTACAGAACATGATGATCAAAAATCGATGAACAATGTCAGAATAAACTCCAAATTTACAGAGGATTTAGAACATTTTGAAACTTTGGTCGACAATATGGAGAAGTGCATATCAGAGGCATGTATTCTTAACGTCGGAATGAAATCACCACAAAATGACACAGACGTTTAAAAACATTAATTGTAAATTTAAATGTTAGTAAGCTAGTAGAGATTTCCGATAAATTGACTAAAGTATGTAAATCAGCAAAACCAAATGAACCCAAATGACGCTATGAATTTCGTTTAATAAGTCGCTCAATCATTTATAGAAATTTTCGGGTAATCATTAACATATCTACACATGTATCATGTCGTTGATTTTCTCTTTTATTAGATTTTTTTGACATGTCATTGACGTATTAAATTATACTATTCACCATTGGTTTAGTTTATAGCTGAAGGCCGTATAATGACCGGCAGTCGCCAACATCCGTATCACATTTGTCTTCTTTTGTAACTTAATTTTTTTTTATGAAGAATAAAATAAAAACAAACAAACAAAAAAAAAAACAAAAAAAAACCAAAGAAAAACAGGTCGTGAATCGGATATTCAGTCATCAAAAGGTTGCTCTAATTTGGAAAAGAACGCCCGAGTAATGGATGAATCGATAAGACATACATGTCTTTCATTTGTAATGGAAAAAAAGGAGCCAATGGCAACTCACTAGAATAAACCTATTATTGATACCAGGATTGAAACTGTTTACGCTAGATCACGTTCAGCCTATAAAAGAGTCATCAGAGAAGCTCAAATAAAAAAAAGTTAAAATGGCCCTGCTACTAAAACATTTTTTAAACTTTATAAAACGTAATCAGGAGGATTGATGAACCAGGGTTATGTCAAAGAACGTCTTCTCCGTTTTTTTTTTATACAAGTTTATTTGATGACAACACGACCTTGTTGTAAATATTCCGTATCGACTTCACATATAATACATGATGGTCTTGAAGTATATATTCTTGGTAGTGATGTTATTTATTAATTTGATTACGTGTTGCAGTGTTCTTTTTATATGTATATTTCTAACCTGATCTGTTGAGTCAATTTTTTTATCAATATCCTTTTGGCGCGGCCCGGTGTTCATACATTCTGCCATTTTACAATTGTATCGTGATAGTTTTTTTTTGTAGTATTGTCTTTAATTTTTGCTCATGTGCTTTGTCTTTACAGTGTCTATATGCAATTTTGTTTTCCTCGTTGACACAGTTGTTTGTTTTATAGAGATAAGGATTATAACAGAATATTGACCGACATTAGTACCTATTATGTCTATTTTTTGCTCACACAGTGTTGTCAATATAATGGAGTTCTTTACGCCTGCAAAGCAAGTGAGAAGTTTTGGGAACTCTAAACCTAGCTTTTATCCGCAATTTTCTACAAAAGAAATGCCTGTATGAGCTTTTTTTTGCATTTGTTAAGATAATTTTCAATTTAATGTTTCATGGAGTTCGGTATTTTTGGGTTTTTTTTTACATTTTTTGAGACATTGAACAACCATGAATACGTATACAACTTTTGTTGAAGAGTAATCTAACTAAACAAACATATGCTTTCATTACTACCTGTATTTTATGTTTGGGATTATAGTTCCTGTTAAAAAATTGTAACTAGCGTATATTTATTTCAATCTGTTATTTTCAATCCACCATTTTCTACATTTGAGAATGCCTGTACCAAGTCAGGAATATGACAGTTGTTGTCCATTCGTTTGATGTGTTTTATCATTTGATTTTGCCATTTGATTAGGGACTTTCCGTTTTGAATTTTCCTCGGATTTCAGTATTTTTGTTATTTTACTTTTCACCAATTTTCAACAAGCATTCTGAAGTAAGAACGTACTTTACTTATAATAAACGTACGAAATACGATCCAAGACCGTAAAATTTCATCTAAAAAACGTTCAGTTTAAGTTGGTGGACAATTTACTGACATTGATGTTTTAATAAACAGATGTTGGGAAAACGCAAAAACCAATGAGTATGGATTACATTCTTTGTAATTGTATACTGAAACACATCAAACGAATGAAAAACAACTGTTATATTCCTGAATTGGTACAATTATTTCCCTATTCAGAAAACGGTGGGTTAAACCCGGTGTTATAGCTAGCTCACTTGTATGACAATCGCATATACATTGTAACTGTTGATATACATGATATATATCTTGAATAATTTGAAGTAAAGGATACTACCGATTTGTCTAGATGCATTTTTGTAATCCATTAAATATAAAAATTAAGTAAAATACTTAAATTATGATTACTGCATTCAGTTTGAACTAATTGTTTATCGATTTCTTTTAAAGGTTTATTTTAACAAAAAATGCAATATTTTAATAAACATATTTGAAGATGTAAAATGATATTTTTTTTCTAAATTTTAGAATTAAATATGCAAACAAAGGTGTATTCAAACAAACAATTATCAATGATAAATACAATACACATATTGCAATAACATAGTTTGTACGTTGAGTTAATTCAAAATTTACAATATAATGAAGTTAGAATTATACAAAATTATGTATTATAATTTCACTTATATCACGTTTGTTGTCCTCTTTCAATTAACATGGGCGGTTTTTACTATAAACAAGGTCTATTTACAGTTTGATGACGTAAAACCAAGCGATGTCAAGTCCTTTTCTAAATCCGTAAAAACAATAAAAGAGTGTATAGAGAAAAAACCGACAGAAACTGATCATCAAAAAGTTTATGAAGAAGAAGTCAAAGCAATGAAGGAGAGGATAAATGATTTCTTACATGTAAGTACATTAACCCATGGTAGTATTTATTGTTTTTCCCTGTAAGTTCATGTCAATCAAATGTTTTCCAATCTTTGTTTCAATACTTCTCTACATTTACGCTTACAATTATAATTACATATCGTGAATTATTGATACCCCAACATTTTTGTTACGGGCAAATTACTCCAAAATGCTTTGTTAATTTTGTTATATGTGTCTGTTAGTTGAAAATATGAAATTTGTATACAGATCGACGGAAAATATAACTATCTATCTACTTACTTAAACGCAACACTTTAAAAAATAGGATACGTATAAAGCACCAGTAAAATGAATCTGTCGTCAAGCCTTCTTGCGAGCGTTGTACCTTAACAGTATAACTGTATTTTATTTAATTTATGACCGAATAGTCTAATAAAGATATGCTTTAGATTTTTAAAACATTCAAATATAAATAATAATTGTGAGTGCATATCAACGTTGATTGACATATTTCATTTTAGGGATGATTTAGAGACAAAGAGTCCGATTTCATTGTTAATCGGTTAATCGATTTTTGTGTCTCCTCCGTGCAATTGTCGAGTTAGTTAAAAATAATGCCATAGATATAAATCAAATTTATCATCTTTTTTAATATCGACTGAGCCAGAGTTAAATATGAAAAGAAAGAAATGTATGCCGAATACTCTTGATATGACTTAAGGAGAAACTAAAGAAATGACAATTCAAAACTTTCATCACTGAACGATTTTTTCTTATGTGGCAGCCACCAGTAAACATACAAGTTATGAAAAAATTTAAAGAAAGAATGGAACAATTTCTCAAAAACCCAGTCATAAGGACGTTCACTGACACACATCCTGACGCAAAATCACACTTGTTGAAGAAAATTGGAGAGTGGAAATCAGAGGTAAGTTTTCATAATGTCAGATACCTCACCAGAAAAAAAAAACAAATTCGAGCAAAAACAATAATATGTTGCTAAAGGTTTAGGTTACAAAGCTATTAACAATCTACGATATTTGACAAACACATCAATTTTGACCAATTATCACTTATCTATACATTGTGTGAAATGGGTTACTCAATTGTAAACTTGGTTGTCCAAAACTATTAAAACCAGACAATAAAATGTGCGTCCATATCTAGCAATGTTCATTAGATGATAAAGGCTAGATATTATGTATTTGTATTTCAGCGGAAAATACGTAAGAATAATCAATTTTATGTATATGAGACTTTAGCGAATCTATTAACCGTGTTAACCATATTTTTTTTTTCTTTTCTAACAAAATATATTGCCATGTCGATACCTTCCTGAATTACTATCAGGTATGGGTTTTTTTGTTGTCTAAGGCTGTATATTTACCTAAGATATAAATGCACACATCCCTTTTTCCCCATACTCCTCATTTTTGTATGTAAAACATTTGTTAACACATAGTTACAATATAAATCAAAATGTTAAATACAAATTAAGGTTTTTAAAGGGGGGCCTACAAAGAGGAACAAATATTGATTACAAATTTAAAAAAAACCAAAAAACTAGCAATTGATGAAATAATTAAACAGACATATATAACACCGAATTTCGAAGACCCAGTGAAAACTAACTCGCATAGATACATTGAATAACCCCGTGTATATCAAGTGAAAATATTTCAATGTGTAACCACTAACCTTAATGACTAATGATTTTTCTTTGCAATGCAAGCCAAAAGTGCAGCAAGCTATACCTACTTACTTTAAATGATGCTAGATGAAGATTGTTTGGAAATCTCCAGATAATCTGTATTATTTATTTTAAAAGGAAATTAATATAAACATTAATATTACTTTTGTTGTTGTTGAACAATTTACATGGACAGTATGTATTAGAAACATATATATTTATATTTTCAGGAAGTAAAGCCAAGTTACGTCAAGTCATTAACTAAAACCCTACACGAATTTAAAAGGTGTTTGCAATTCAAAGGTGATCATGAAGAAGATGTCGTTACAGAGTTTTGGAAGGTGATAGATAATTTCTTACATGTGGGTACATTTATAAAGTTTGGATTATTTTTATGTAAAATCAGACCAATCATATTTTTTTCTGTAGATGCTGCTCTTCAATAATGCATACAATTATGCATATATGCCTTAGATTGTCCATGTGGCATGATAATTTATATAAATGTCCTTCTTTCTCCAAAATGCTTTTGAATTCTTCAGAAATGTTCTTGTAAAATGTGTTTGTATGTTGGAAAAAAAATCAAATATAACACAGGACTACTGAACAGTTATATCATGTTATGGAGGGGTATTTGCAAAAAATACCAGTCAAAGGAACTGAAATTTCCCAAGCAGCTAGTCGAGGGACATTTAGTCCCAAGACTGGTATTTTTCGCAAATACCCCTCCATAACATGATAAATCTGTTTAATTATCACCGAATAGCGATTTTGATTTTAACTGTCTGTACAGGTGAAGGGAAATCGGAGTACCGCGGGAATTATACATGTACTTATACGCGTTATTGCTGTCTTTTTGTAACATCATGGTGTCTATGTGTAAACGTCATTGTTATTCCATCATTTAATCGTTCATTTGTATCGACGTCTTTTTTTACTTTATATATATATATCTGACATTTTAGTTTACAGTTTTCGGTTTAACTCAATCAATAGTGCTTAACCATGTTGTCTGCAGTAATAATCCGGATAAAGTGAGAAAGGTTCCGAATAATTTTGGCGGGAAGAGGCTTGCGAGGGTAAAAAGGAATATCCAAAATGGCAAATACCACGGCAGACAGGGGAATATGAGGCAAATTCACCGGCAGTGGTGAAAAACAGACACATTCTTTTGAAATGAGGATTTCTTTTTTAGAATATGCGAAAAATACACTGGTTAATAACCAATCCAAATCCGACATTCTAATATAAGGTGTAATTAACATAAGAATAACTAATTACCAAATGTAATTGAGAAAAAAATCATTGCAGCCGTAGATTTGTTTTTTTTTCATTTAACCATGGATTTGGCCTTTATATTCGATTATTTTACCCTGAGCGTTTGATCCGTGCCAAGTGGCAAACTATTGCCAATCATCCAAAATCATCCAAAATTACCCAAGATCTTTCCCAAACCTCCTGTCTTAGCTTTTTGTGATAGCTGACATTTCCTCTAATAAAAGCTGTTCAAAGGTATGGTGCAAACCGTTTGGTAACAGAAGATGTCTGACTTGCCAACAAATACTGAATACTCAAACATTAATTTGCCACTCCACTGGGTCTGTGTACACTATATTTTGCGATGTAACATGCGAAACTCAGAATGTTGTATACCTTCGTTAATGTTGATGTGGCATGCAGTATGTTGGCGAAACAAAACAGCTATTCAACAAACGCATGAATGGTCATCGAAGTGTATAAACCTGCAAGCCTGACCTCCCCGTAAGTCGTCATTTGGGATCGACTGGGCACGACCAAGCTGATCTCAAAAATTTTACCATCACAATCATAGACCACAACGAGGGTTGGTAAAGGTCTGACAGATTTGTTCGGGAAATATTTTGGATAAGAAAGGCATAAATGGAAAATCATAGAATGAGTCACTTATTTTCCCTACCATCACTCATTTTCCTACCATCACTTGTTTCCAGTAACTATGGCTTCCGTACTGGACTCTTACATTTTTAAGGAATTTTATAATTATACCAGTTTAAATTACAGGGTTCTGTTCATTTGGGAGGAATGTACAAGTACGCAGTCACCTTCACTTATTTAACCTTAGTCAAAATTTAGTATATCATTTTTTTCTAATAAACATCAAACTGCTATTTATTTGGGATGTTTAAATACACAGTCTCTGTTATAATTCCTCTACCGTTGTCAAATTTGAAAAAAATATGCAAGCTTAGATCGGCCTGTGCTGTTTATTGGGAATGTATTTCCAAACAGTTGTTGTAACATCTTAGATGTCGTCACCTTTAAAATTTTAGAATTGTACCAGTTCATATCTCACATTACTATTTTAATTTAAACCCTATCTTTGACATATAGCTCTTCAACGGTTTCGGTACTTATACATCCTTGGATTTCAAATGTTTGGCTTTGAGCGTTCCTGATGAAGGTAAATCCAGAAAAGCGCTTCGGACGCACAACATTATTAAACGTTTTGTTTTCAATTTTTTTGCATACTCTGTTGTCAATAGCTATATAACCTACGTCATTTTTACAAAAAAAGTAAGAATTGCACAAGCGTCTCTATAATGTTCGGGTTTAACTGTTTTATTGTATACATTTCAAGATTGTTCTAGTTTTATAATCAGGATAGATTCATTTTACATCATATTTATACTGATGAAGGATATCTGTTATCCGAAATATTTAACATTTTTTTCGTTTTATTGGTTTTGTTTTTGTGATGATGTACCCTTTTAGACTTGTTATATATATATATATAGCTCTACGACATATGATGTGGTACACGGCTAAAAACAGATATTATATTCATAATTATTCTAAATATCAGCACACTAATGTTTAATCTGTAATTATGCGGAAGCAAATGTTTGTTATTCCCTCGCCTGGATTCGAACACATGCTATTGGAATATCGACACAACACCGCCTTTACTTTTATCCAGCGATCAATACCAATCGGCCAGATTAAATGAACTAAAAATTCAGCTTTCAGTGTCCTAGTGTTACCTCTCCCCGTCAGTAGAATCTAGAGTTGTAACACAACACATGATATATTTGGCATGAAAGTGGTATTAATTGCAGATTTTCTAAATATCTATGATACATGATCGTAAGATGTTGTCACAGAAATAATTAATTTGATAACTACGTCTGAACAAGTAAACCTTTACGACAGATCAATCCATTGGATGACCAACACGGCTGAAAACACAGATTATTTTCATGATTAATCTAAATATCAACACAACAATGTCAAATTTGTGGAAGCAAACTTTTTTCTTTCCTAGACATATTTATATCTGTTTTATTTCTTTATTTTTAAGAATCTTCGCTTTTATGACAGTAAAATGTAAATCTACATACATGTAACTTTGCAATTTGTGAAGCCATTTTGCTGTTGACAATTGTTTTAGTTGTATTAATGCAATGTTGATACTATTGATTTATGTCAAGATTTTGAGAGAATGAATGATAAAAGGCACTAAACGATTCAACAGTATCTTTGTTTAGTTTCAGATGTCAGACACAACACAAAACATGATCGATTTGCACAAAGCAATGGAGCATTTTAGAAAGAAATTCAGATATACAATGAATTTAGCAAAATTTGATGAGTTGTTCGAGAATATTGACGAGTGCATATCAAAGGTTGGTATCATGACGTCATAGTAAAATCCTTATGAAGCACCTACAGATTTTTGCTAAGAAATAACTTACCTTGAACGATTTAAATATAACCATGTATTTCTAACCTAAGCATTTTGTTTAATATACCGCTCAAGTTTAAACTTAGTATTACAAGACTATGAACAACAATATACTAAACTATATTTAGTAATGGTGATGGTGATGGGAACCAACATATATCATGTATTTGTATTTCAGTTGGAGATAAGTGCTAATAATCATTTAATAGATACGTTTCATTGCAGGGATCTTACATCTTTTCTTCTTGTATTGTTAGTGACTTTCATTACTTATTATACGGTATGAGGTTGCTCATAGTTAAAGGCCGTACAATGGTCCACATTTGATATACAATTGCTTCTTGCTTGCTTTTTTCTTATTATATTTTTCTCTAAAAAAAACCTTTTAAAATATTAACAAAACATGCAAAAATGCAAATTAAATAATGAAAATATTTTTTTAAGAAAAAAAAAGGGAATTATTTATTCAAAATATATATATATGTATTCAATGCCGGCATCACAAATTGGCGTATATACCGACATGCACAAGATTGTACAGAGAAAATTCACTGTCCGTATACGTTATGTGCACATCCGGTGAATACGCTTGGTGAACGCTTTAACTCAAGAAACTTTAAATGCAGCATAATCTAACTATAGCGTTTTTTAGGCGTATAACTGTTCGCTACATGCACGAAATACATACGTTACAAGCGCGTTTGAAAACGCTACACATAAGTTTGAGACATGTTTTGGACACGTTGTACACGCCACTCGATCGTTTGACTTTTATTTGGTCTTTTACTTGGACGTATGCGGGGCGTGCTTGTAATATATGCCTGGCGTAGTTTCAGCGCTCCTTGAACGTATAAAACACACCCGTCAGAGAGACAACAACTGACTCAAGAGCAGGTAACAGCCGAAAGCCTCCTATTGGTCTCCAATGCAGCGAAAAAAGCCCGCATCTTGAGGTGGCCCTCAGTTACCTGTAAATAAAAATGTGTACTAGTTCAGTTAAACAGCCCATAATGTCCCAGACAAGCCGAAAGCAGGGATAATCGTCCAATGTACGACCAGGAAAAAGTAAAATCACAAAAATACTGAACTCGGAGGAACATTCAGAGTCTCAAATGTGTTCAAGGGACGATTTTTGTTGTTGCTTGAATTGCATCTACGTTAGACAAACGACATACATACTACTTCTATTTATTTTAAGATTAATGGATTAATTTGTATTCCATTATCCATTGATAGTAATTTGTTGCTTGCAACATGCAAATTTCACAAAGTTTATGTTCCCTGCCTTTATTTATTGTAAGTGTACAATTTACACATGCCACAAGGGCGGATTGTACTGCAAACATGTCTATTTACAGTTAAAAGTTGGTAAGCCAAAATATGTAAAGTCGTTATCTGAATCGTTACAAGAGATGAAACAATTTATGAAGAGAAACCTTCTAGAAAATGAGTATAAGTCGATCAAAATGGCGTTTAAGAAGATAGTGAATAATATTTTAGATGTGAGTATATTTATTCGTAAGGACTACCTTCTTTTTAGTCATTATAGTCGTGGATTTAAATAACGATATTTTACAATTACGCATACCATTACGCATCCTTATCATTCACATGTGTATCTTTGGATATAACAATAATTATATGACATAACAGGTAAATATAACTACATAGATATTCACAATGAAAATTACACGTTTAAGATTTGGTAGAGTTCCATGTTTTTTTAATATCTCAGAACGATGTTCAAAGCAATAAGAATGTTCAAAAACATTGAAAGTCAATCATTCTAAATCTTTAGGGCTTATCTAACGCACATTAGGAAGAGACCTGTTAGTATCCGGAATAATTTGCCATATTTGAAAAAAAATTAATTACCAGTCGGTCATGAAGTGGTACAATTAAATAGCAAAAACAAGGAGATGCTGCATTATTGCAAAAGCGACAGAAACATAAATTAAAAAAAAAAAGTTTACGAAAAAAGGCTTCAACAATGTGGTTAGATAATATTATATAGTACAAAGAAAGCCATTCAAGTCCCTGGAATGATAAGATGTGAACAATTCAAAAACAAAAATCAACAGCTTTAATTACGCTTATAAACTACAATTTCTCAAATATAAGTACACTTTTTTGTTGCTATTAAACATAACGAATATCTACAAGATAGTACCGATATTTGAAATTAAGTTATATTAAGTCATGTGTGTGTGTATAATTCCATCGATATTAATACTATGTTTTGTCGACATTTTTTTATATTGACGCTTTTTATATCAGAGACAAGTATCCACAAAAGTCCACACAAATTCAAACAAGGACGGGGGCACGATCAACTAAAGACACTATTGGCCTTTCTTTTCAATGGTTATACAACTTATAAATTAAATAACACAACTTTTTCCATAAAAACAAAACATTCGAAAACTGTCATATTTATGACTGATCACAGACATTTGCTAAAAAAATGATCAACGTCCCAAGAGGTTACATAGATATCCACTCATTTTGTTTATTTTTGCTGTACATATTTTATAATTCAGACATATTTAGAAATAAGAAATTTCTTAACACCACATGTTATCAATGTAATCAATTAACAGGTTTCGTATAAGTAAAACGTTATATCTACAAACGAGATATGAATATCAGTAGACATGTTTATACTAGAAAGATAACCGCGTACCTATTGCAACTTCATTCAAAATGGAAATGGATTATTTGTGTATTGACAAATTAAAAGAGTTTAGTTTAAAGTAATTTGCAATTATATAATATATTTCAAACGACTACCCTACAGATTTATCAATTACCATTGATCATACCATGGATATCTTGTATTTCATTAACGAGTTATACGATCAGCGTCAACGAAACAGCACATCAAACAACCATCAAAACTTTATTGCGTATTCAAATTCCGTGTGCTAGGTAAAAAACTATATAACATTGGGAAGAAACACTCAATTTCAAATAACAAATACTCTAAAGATGATTATATAAACTCATTATTGGTCTTTTGTGTAAACAGAATATCTTGACATGCAGTTTACCATATCACAACCATTTGTAATCGGATAGTGTCTGAGCTATACATCTGTAAGATTAGGGTTTTGAATGTCAGATTTTTTACCAAAAAATAATCTGTTTTGTTTAAAGCTCATGCTATTAATTTTTCGAAACTGAATCGTCATTGTTAGGTAAAAGGTAAACGGCGGAAATGCAAAATGAAACAATTGTTTACAACACACACCACAGAAAGCTAATCACTTCGCATCATCATCCCTTGAAAGAACCAGTTGTGATATGATATAAGATTACTTTCGATTTCCAAATGGGACTATATAGATATAAGAACATGTGGTATGGGTGCCAATGAGACAATTCTCCATCCAAGTCACAATTTTTAAAAGTAAACTTTATATGTGTCTTTTATTTAAAGAAACAGTTCTGTTTTTTTCTAGTACTATTGCGTATACTTGAAATGTTGTATCATTAACGTTAACCACACTTCAACAATTTTCGAAACAGGAAAGCAGTAAAGATGAAGTTTCAGATCTCTTAGAGACGTCACTAGTAGAAAACAGAACAGATTTGGTCACGTTAATAATAGACCGAATGGAGGACATGAATGCATTTGTTCTCTTGTATATTCCACGTATATACCAGAAGGTAAGTAAAATTAGACTATATTCTATAGAAATACAAATGATAATGTTTCTAGAACTAAATTTCACTAATTATTTTTAAAAGAGGAAAATGCTTATCGGTTTTTCGTTATTATGAGCTACATCATAACTACTAGCATTACAACGGTTTGTAATTGTATACTGTAGACTGGACATGACGATACGTTTAGACAACATAAATATTTATTTGAAAAAAGTCCATTTTATAGAAACAACAGATAAATGGACATATATATTTTTACCGTTAAGTAGATACAGTCTTTGATTAAAGTTTGGTATACATTTATTACTTTGGCAAACCTTCATGCAATTTTATAAAACTTTGACTGAAGTGTTTCTATGCTTAAGATATAACGTCTGAAGTAAACTTTTGAAAACATCCGTTTTTTTTTCAGTCTTTTTTTACTTAGTTTTTTTAGAGTTAATATTTTACAGACAGTCTAAGGTTGAATTTTTGTGACACTATAGATCTTTAACCCTTATATGGATTATTATCAAAAATGGACAGTTGTTAATCTTCAAGACCCAGGAAAAAGTATCTAAACAAATTCATTTTTTTTAATTCTGTATTTCACTTATAAATATACTAACTTTTATCTCAGCATTGTACATTAACACTAAAAGAGCAGCAATCGTACACGATACAAAGGTTTTCTTATAATTAATTTCTATTTTTGTTAATAAAAATGCTAATGTACATATATTACATTTCAGTGCCTTGCAAAAGCAGAAAAGGAAGATGTAGCAATCAGCCTCATTGACCAGGTAATAATATAATTATATCAGACGATACTGATTGCCGATATTATTTTAGCACATACAACAAAATCGTCGTATTTTTATGTTAAGACTGTCAACGTTTAATTAAGCATTTCCTATATTTTGGAGAAGATATCAAGTTGAAAATAAATCTGAACTAGAGAGAATGCTGCAAATGTGATTTGTTCTGTACATTTTGTTTTGTGCAATACACAAGATTATTGGTTTGTTTATATGTATTTAGTTACTGTACGAATTTTGTTATTGTTATTGACTCGGATAAATACAGATATTGTATAGACAGTAAGTTTTGGGTATTATTAAAGACTGCATAATGCAATATAACGATTTTCTATTTTGTGTCGCTGGGTAAATGTATCATCGACGTATACACAAATTCATTTAAATATTGTTAAAACAATGTAAGTAAATTCAAACCTTAACCCTTTTTTTTTTTAATTTTTACAATCGAAATGTATATTGAGAACATGTCTGAAACATTTGCTTAACAGTTACCATATTTTGACATGCATTACATATAAGTCAAATGATTTTGCTTTCCCGTCCGATTAAATGGACACATATCTAGATAAAGCGACTGTTTCTTTTTTATTTCAAAATGCTAGCAAAGGAAACATCACGGTGAAAAAGAGGACAAGGTCGTAAAAGTAACAAACAAAATACTGGTTAACGTTCACAATTTCATCAGCGACCTGCTTGGAGACACACATTTTGAATTATACAAACTCATTCCTAAAACTGATGGTACATGTAAGTTATATTATTTTAAGGTGCAATGAATGTAGTTAAAATATGTCATTTGAAATATCATCAATACATTATATATATTATTCAGATCTCAGACAATATACTGTGACATTCTCGGCTTAGAATAACACTTAATACATATTTTCTCGTAAAACGCTACCTTTGCTTCAAGGACAAACGACACAATTACAGAGAAATAAATAGTCCGAGAAATTTTAGTTCGATTCTATGTAAATTGAACTGCATTGTTTTATGTTCTAAATATCTTGTGTTGTGTACACTTAACCCACACAAAACCTACATTGACTATCGACTGCATGTAGGCAAAACAATATTTAAACTACATGTAAACATAGAGTTTTATCAATGGGAACGTAATTGTGTGTATTTTACGTGTAAATTACACAAACACAACACTGCGTTTAGGTCAATATGAACACGGCCTTATAATCATTTAAAATAACATGTAACATGTAGACTCATGAACTGCAACAACAACGCAGTAGAGAACAATTGCATATCAAATGAATAAAAAAAACATTAACCATAGAATAAATACGTGACAAAACATAATTCGATTGAGATGATGCAGATCAAGATACTATCAAACTATTACGGTTTTCGGTTGAGATCCGAAACAGCGAGACAAGGAATATATTAACAAATCCAATGAAGGACATATAGAGTTTAAGATAGCACTACAGTCTAGCAATGATTTTTTGAAAATATTTTTTAATCACATAATTTTGAAGATAGAATAATTCTGCACAGTTTGTTAAAATCCCAATTTTATTATTATATTACAACAGGGAGTAAATTGATAATGAAGTTATGTAAATAAAAACACACGGTTATTAATCTAAATATATAGGCATTTGGGAGGGGCTAATATGTCAACCATCTGTTGACCAGTGTCCAGCTGTTCCTTGACCACAAGATAAATAGTATGGTCTCATTATATAGCATGGAAGTAAACAGAGAAAAAGAAAAGAAATGAAAAGGAAAAAATATAAAGGGGAAAAATCTACCAAAATGAAAAAAATGGAAAGAGTGTGAAAGTATCTTTAAAGGCCTCTGACTGCCTGTTTAAATTTCTTCTCTTTGGTCTTTAACATTTAAATACAGTTTTAAGCATTTTAATTTTATGTGAAATTTTTCAATTCCATAAAACTCAAAAACCATTTGGGACAGTCTATTTTCAAGAAGGGGATGGTTTGATCTTTTTATGAACATGTCTTTAATTGAACAATTTTAATGTTTTAGCTAATTTCAGTCATAGTATATTTCTTTTTAAAATACAAATTAAAATTAATTTTATAGTGAGAGTAATGATGTTAAGAGGCTGTGCCAATAAGCATAGAGCTTCAGGTGGAAAGTGAAAAAAATAAAAAATCATAAAACCTTGGTTAAAATGAACATAGTAGGCTTATAAGACTATATACCAAGAAATAACCATCAATTGAAAGAAAAAAAAAACTTTTTTGGCAATGAAATAATGGTTACAATGCACAAAGTCAATCTGAGACACAATTTTTGGCACAAAACAGGATATTCCGACATAAAATATTATATCAGAATAAAGAACAGTGGTCAATGCAAGTAAATATTTTAAATATATAATCTTAAAATGATAAGCTAAAAAAAATCGTATATAAAAAAAAGTTAATTAATGGTTGCTATGGTAACAGAAAAATCAAAAGGTTCAAGTTTATAAATTTTTCACAAAAAAAGCAATTTTTGGGTCAAAATTGTAAAAAAAATCATGATGTGTATAATATGAAATATAGTATTGACAAAAAAAAAGTGACTATCATATAATTCAAAGAAAAAATAAAATTGGGTAGACTTTTGAATTTATATTGGTGGCAGCTACCCAACATTATGGTGATTCGGAAGCAATTTGGTACAAAAACTACAAATATTGTCACCTTATAGATGTCAATAATATAAAAAAAAAGATTGCACATATGATTTTATTTGTACTGACAAATGCCACACAAAAGCGTATTCAATTGAGAAGAAAATATGCATAAAATCTCCATAACAACCATCTGCTTTGCATAGCAACCAACTGAGCCTGAAAATATACAATGTTGATTTGTAACAAAATGCACAAAATTAGGCACTTAAAGCCTGCTGTAGAAAAAGAACCAATAAGAGTCCAATTGTGCATTAAGATATGCCTATCTCTCCTTAGCAACACTAATTCATGACATAAATGCCTAGTAACCAACTGATACTTGAAAATACCCACGCTCAATTCATGGATAACAAGCATAACTTAAAAATATAAATACCTGATAAAAATTAAAATAACATTAAAAATCATTTATGCATCATGTGCATATTGATACTTTATTTAAAAATATCTTAAGCAACACTACTGATTACATAGCAACCAACATATGTGGTGTAAAAGAGGGGCGAAAGATACCAGAGGGACATTCAAACTCATAAATCAAAAATTAACTGACAACACCATGGCTAAAAAAGAAAAAAAAGACGAGCATGCAATGGTTTACAAAACACAATACAGAAAAAATAAAGATTAAGCAACACCAACTCCACCAGAAACTTGGGAATGATCTAAGGTGCTCCAGAAGGGTAAGCTGATCCTGCTCCACATGTGGCATCCGCAATTAAATTATATTATTTCATGGTCATTCAAAAAGAATTAACTTCATTTAATTTTTCTTTGAAACAGCAACAAGCGAATCATTGCATACGCTCTTGTGGGAAGTTGTGACTGAACCAAAGTCCAAGTTTCAAACACTACTATTTGATTTTTCAATACTAAAAGAGAGGTTGGCCATAACTATTTTCGGCCCTCTGCATTCGAAAATAAAGTGTACCACGATTTCCTGACGTCTAAAGTCTTTCAGAGTTTATTTTTATGTATACTATGTCCTGATGACGCCGATCTAATCGGCGAAACATGTCGACTTAATAAAATTGCAAATAACTTAAGTGTTGTAGTCAATCTAGTGGCAATTAGATCTGTTGTTTCTTTTGACAACCCTGCATACCGTCGGTATACACTTTAAGGAATTTCTACCTTCACGAAACTTTAGAGGCGTTGGTTCAGCAGTCCTCCATTATTTTAAGTAGTATAACACCATGTTTTTTTTTAAATCAATTTATCCTTTGGATATTAATAAATTCTTGTAATCATCGGGAAATTGTGGTACCGGAAAATAAAATAGTTATACTAAAAGTTAGATCTCAAAATAAGTCAACATGACTAAAATTGACCCCATTAGAAGCTATGGCCTTTCAAAGTAAATTTAACACAATTTTTCGTAAATTTTTGTTATCTTTTACATAAATCTTCTCCTCTTGGACTAATTCATGCTTAGGGTATTAAGTTTAACAAAATGTATCCGATGACCCCGCCCATCAATAAAAAGATGAAAACAAATTTTTCCTACCATTTGACCTGAATGTGCCATTTTCATTCAAGTTGGAAGAGAACTTTTTTGGCAATTAATGAGCTATATTTTGAGATTAATTATATCAAAAATAAATTAATCTATAGATTAAGAAAGAGTCATATTTCAGCTTTAAAATGAGTTAAAGATTTTTAAAATCCATGGAGTGATTTTAGAGAAATTAATCTTTAAAGACTGTTAGTTGGATCAGAAAATTCTGACTGTAGTGCTACCTTAAGTGTACACAAAATGACATCAGATCGATCCTGTTAAGATTCTTTGATGAATCATATTTATGTTGGTGAATTCGCACATATAATGAACCATTTACTTGATAATCAGCAGTTTTATTCGCCCCTAGCTGTTTGGTACGGGTTGTGGATAAATATGCATAGGAATTTCGTCTCTGCATGTGAACTACAATACAATCAAAACACGTTTTGAAAGACAATACACCAAATTAAAAATAGAGAATATGAACGATTATATTCAAATGACGAGAATAGCATGTTTCGTTTGCTATTATCTATCAGTTCTTTTGCTGAAACTCAAAAATGTTATTGATAATTCGAACTCATTTGTTTTTCCGTAAAAACAGCTAAACCTGAAGAAATAGAACTTACATATGCTGATTATCCGTTTCATCATTTGTTTGTATGGGCCATCATGGTGAATTGGAAAGAAATGGCTATGATATTCTGGAAACATGACACTGATAATACATGTAAGTTTTTTGGCATATAAGAAACGTTGTTCATTACTTACACACAAACACACACATATACAAAAACACATATCTTCTTTCTATATAGTCTTTCAAAGAACGAAAAGCGGTATATTAGTTAAAAATTATAAATCCTTATACACATTTGTTTTTTTTTCCTCCAAATTTTAGTGTATTTTAGGAACCAAGTTTTTTTATTTTGAAAATGTTAACGTAAACATTACAATATAACATGTTTATGAGAATTGGAAAATAAGTTAATTTTCACTTCTAAAAATGCCTCTCAACAAATGGCAGTTAGACGTCTAGAGATCGACCGATACTGTAATTAGAAAATCGACAAATCAGTTGTGTCTACATTTCAAAGCAAATTGTTGAAAATCGATGACATTATGACTGTTGAAGTCTACGAACAGTTAGCTTTAGAGGTATGCTTAATGAGATAAAACAACGATGTATTGAAGAACATACAATTCAATGTTCCGTGTTTTTATAAAAATATCATGAAGCCACAACAATTTGATTCCTAGTTATATAAAATTGAGAATGGAAATGGGGAATGTGTCAAAGAGACAACAACCCAACCATAGAGCAGACAACAGCCGAAGGCCACCAATGGGTCTTCAATGCAGCGAGAAACTCTCGCACCCGGAGGCGTCCTTCAGTTGGCCCCTAAACAAATATGTATACTAGTTCAGTGATAATGGACGTCATAATTAACTCCAAATTATACACAAGAAACTAAAATTATATGTATTTTTCTTTCCTCTTTTGGATAACTTACTTTTCAAAATATAAATACAGATCACTGCTTCCGCAAATGTGTAGTCTGCGTGCCGCTCTTAGATAAGTCTGTACTTTATTTATCACAAATTAAAAGACGCTTTTATATTGTATAATGATCGCTTTAAACCCATATTTAATAAATCGATTTGTTGATAAGGTATTAAAAAATCTGGATGTCGAAATGCAGTTGTTGTGTCAGCCAATTGTTGTGGATAGGCAATTAATAAACTTATATGCAAAATGATTCCATGCGCATATTTTACCTTATAAGATCTGATCAAGGATGTAAAAACAAACATCGGTAGGTTACTACAAACACGTCAATATTTGATTAGAACCATCGCCATCACCGACTATTATTTTCAATATATGAATATGTTCTTTTATGAAATTATTTGAAAATCACTGAAGTATTTGTTTTTTACAAAACTTTATATCCCCTTTTTAGTCATTTGGTAAGCACAGAGAATCCGTCTTTTGCATAGGTAATTCAAGAGTACCAACGAGAGATGCATGTAAATGTATTGAGATTGACCTCATTGATTTATAAATAATTTGCTGATTTAAGTAATAAAGTAAAGATCAGTTTGTTTAGTTAGAATAAAGTATCTCAATGGAATGACCGGCATCTTAAGGGAAAATGTAATTACTAGGGACCAAGATAACTATCTTACTTCGCATTTTGTTTTAGGATAACACAAGAAATATTCACCTCGCTTATAATAAGAACCCTGAATATGCCACTAAAATCTACGCACCAAAAATAAATCAATAAAGTACCCTCAGTCTGGTAACTGTTCGAACGGATTCATATTTTTTTCATTTAATTAACATGTGTCATTTATCCTAGGTGCATAAATCCTTTTGTTAAACCCTTGATAATTTCACATCAAAGAAGAGAACCATGACTATAAATGTAAAACACAAATGTGTTTGTACATAAAAAATGAAGTTGCAGTGGTTTGCTTGGCTTCCTAATGATCTATATGTAAATAAAACTGTCATATAAGTGAGAGGTTTAGCTAGCTATACAGTCAGGTTCAATCAACCATTTGCTACATAAAAAGCCTGTACCAAGTCCGGAATATGACAGTTGTTATTCATTCGTTTGATGTGTTTGAGTTTTTGATTTTGCCTTTGAATAGGGACTTTCTGTTTGAATTTTCCTCTGAGTTCAGTGTTTTTGTGATTTTACTTTTTGAATCCGACCAAGCTGATAAATTATCCCAACTTAACTAATCCACAGTATGAAAAGAAAGTCTGATACGGTACAGGCATCTATACACCAAACGGTAGGCATAAGAACATCCGTTGTTTCCCTCATTGTTTAATTACTCAACATATTTCATACATTTAACAACTTCTAATTCACACTTTAAAAATATATATTAATCGCGCCAGAAAAAACTCATTTTAAGGAAAAGTAAACAAAAACAAAAACAAAAACTTGGCTTACCCACGCTTTATTTTTTAGCAGGTGTCTGAAGATCAAAACATCAAATTTGTTTGGCCTATGGCTTGCTTCCCTCACACAACGTTGATAAAAATCATTGTAAACAAATGTACAAAATATCTATTATCTAAAACATTATTAGCCTGGCTAATAACTTCAATGGAAATGAATAATCAAAATTTTTCATATTTTCTGTTTAGTATAGTTATTTTATTACATCGGGATGGCATCCTTGTCGTTGGAACGAACTGTGTTCCACATAATTGTAGTCTTGATTTTTATTTGCATCAATTAGACTACATACAAATCCTTGGTGGATATTTCAATTCTGACTTTTTATTTTACATATGTTATGCTGTGTTTATACTTGGTGGATATTCACTTGACAACACGACGAAACAATTATAAGGCAATTAATCGAAATGAATGCATCTTTTTTTTTGTTGTGTTTTTTTTTAATTTGTAAATATTTGGCAATATTCAAAACTAAATATTAGTTAAGAAAAGTTATATCACCAAGAAAGTCTTTGGACGGTAGTAGTAGTATGTTTATCCATATATATGTTGATTTGATATATGTTTTAGGTTCAGCTTTATTTGCGAGTGCATTACTAAATAAATTAGCTGAAAGGGCACACTTTTCTAGTCATATGGATCTCAGTACATCATTGCGTGAAAATGCTAGGTAAGCCAACATTACACAGTGCTATTTAAAGTGAAATTTTATAAGATAACGTTTTTACGTATTTAGAAAAACGTAAACAACGTAAATAAAAAATAAAATCTTTAAAACGAAAACAAGATATAAGACCAAATGTATATGATATAGAACTGTAAGTAGTATATGAAATCTAATAAATTGCAATTGTCCTTATTAATCACGTTTGCACACTTCGTTTTATGAGACAATAGTATCTATAACGACATGGAAAGCAAAAATACATCTTTTATATATATAAATAATATAATGAATAAACTACAACTTTCTTTATATACCACACCGAATCAACTTCTAACCAATATACTCCTTTGATCAGAGCTGTCGGTATACTGTCGATGTCTTGGCTTTAAACGGATGTGATTTTGAGAACGTCACGTAAAACATGGTCATTTTTTACAATTTATCCTAAAAACATTTATATTCAAATCATAAATGTTTTTCTTTGAGACTAATGTCATTTTGTGATCTTTTGTGCGTTGCAACAAATATTGAAATATTAAGTAGATATGCTGGTTTATAGTACATTTCAGTTTCATCAATCGTCACGACTTTTTAACATGTTCAGTGGGTGTCGTTTGTTGATGTGTTACATATTTAAATTTTGTTATTTTTTTGTACATAAATTAGGCCGTTAGTTTTCTCGTTTGAATTGTTTTACATTTGTCATTTCGGGGCCTTTTTTAGCTGAGTATATGGCATGAACTTTGTTCGTTGATGAAGGCCGTAAGGTGACCATTTGGTAGTTGATTTTTAAAGTCATCTACTATGTGGTGTTAAACGCAACTTTCAGCATTATTGGCCTTTTCTTGACAGCCATTTTCCATTTATCGATAAACCCTTTAAAATGCAAATTCTTGTACACTTACATCGTGATACTGAAATTGGCGAAGAATTCGACCAGGAAACTGAAAAACAACATGTTTGTTGCTTCGCATTCGCGCATTCCTTTTTCCAAATTAAGCCAATGTTCGTTTGAAGGTGAACAGATACACATAACATTTGATTTTGTTCTTTGGTATCGAAGATATGATTTGAAACGTCAACAATTTTAATTTACAAATTTTTTTTTTACAGAATTTGATGTTTTTTACTTCATTTACTTCATTATGCGTTGTAATAGTCTTGTCAATTTAATTTTGATTTTCTATTTGTATCGTCTATTTTTTTTCATTATTTCAGTTATTTTGAAACACTAGCTTGTAGAGTGATCACAGAAATGTATAATCGCGATCGAGACAAAGCTCTCAAGATACTGGTCACCAAGGTCGGTCGATACAATTCTACACCTTTGGCGATTGCTTATTCGCAAAAATTAATGACGTTTATGGCAATTACCGCTTGTCAAGCTAAGCTCAACACTATATGGAGGGGAGATATTGCGTTATATACACCATCATGGAGGGTATGTTGAATGATATTTGAGCAATCAAATTATGAAAATTTTGATATAATGTGTTGTATTAGCAGTGATGAGAGTAACAACATGAAACTCCGACAAACATATGAATGTAATGATCGTGTAATTATTCATGTTTTTTTCTGTAATTGCTGTACAAGTACATCAAACAATTGCAAAAAGGGAAAAATTGAACGTATGTATCTGCATATGCATAGTAACACAATTAAAATCATTTCATTTCAATATTTGTGTAACATTTGCACATATAAGGCTCTGTTACATTCAAGATGTGAAAATATACTAATGTTCTAACTATAAGTATGCCAAAGATGTACCTACTACATAAAATAAGAACAGCAATATGTTTTAAAGCTATAACCTATTAAAAAGGATAACGTAATTAACTTAAATGTAGGGTCAAATATACAATATAACATTTTGAGTTTAGTAGACTGATAGTCTATATGACTGTCAGTAGTCCGGTAGATACACTCCTTTTTTATAATCGAATTATAAAAACAATTAAAAAAAGTGGAAGGTGGTTAATAAATTGCATTTAAAACCTTCAGCGATATCTTTGTATTTTAGAGTGTATAAACGAACAATTCAAGACAATTTAACATACAATAATAAATAGTCATCTGCCAAATGATTTTGAAGTAAGGTAGTATTTGTGTTTTACTATATATTCACTATGTTCAGTCGTTAATCGTATTTACCCTTAAAACCAATTGATACGACATTCCCGGGCTTGTATTTCTTATCATGATTTCCTTGATAGAGGTTGTTGCTCACAAGTAAGCCATTAAACCAAGAGTTCCAAATTTTACGGACGCCATCACGAAACGGTTGACCGTTATGGAACATCCGTTTCAAAGATGATACCGATATGATCCTTAGTTCGTCCCTATAATCTCCTTCTCTTTTCACGAATTTGACCTACTGAGTGAGACCATTTACCGGGTTTGTAATAAACTGAAAGCAATACGTTTAATAATTTTATGCTTCCGAAGAGCTTTTTCTGCATTTACCTTCATCAAGATTGCTCAAACTCAAACTCAAACATTTGAAATCCGAGGATGTATTGTACCGAAACCGAAGAGCTATATGACCAAAATAAATAAAACAAATAGCGAAATTCATCTAAGGTCAACTTTGCCTGAGGGAGTTGAAACTTTAGTTTCTTTATAATTTCAAAAAATATATAAACGGACAATTTTAGAATGGTTTGATATAAATCATGTCAGTATCGAAGTACTGACTACTGAGCTTATGATATCCTCTGGGACTGATAGTCCATCAGCAGAGGTATCGACCCAATGATGAAAAAAATGAAAACAACACGAGCAGCACGACGGGTGCCACATGTGGGGCAGAATCTGCTTACCCCTCCAGACTATCTCAGGTCACTCCAAGTTCGTGTTACTTAGTCTTTAGTTTTCTATGTTGTGTCTTGTGTACTATTATTTGTCTGTTTGTCTTTTTCTTTGTTTAGCTATAAGGTTGTCAGTTTATTTTCGATCTATGAGTTTGACTGTCCCTCTGGTATCTTTCGCCCCTCTTTTAAACAATACAAATTGAACGATTTTGACTTATTTCAAAAGATTTCCGCAAATTAAGATTAATTCAACTCATCAATGACAGCATGGCAGACAATATAACTTAATATTGTCAATTTTTCCTACTTGTTTGTTTCATTACACTAGTAATAATTTTATTAACATTTTTAGATTGGTTTGGCTATGTTTTTTCCAATGCTGATCATTCAAAACATTGGATTTATTACCATTCAAAACGGTCAAAAGACAAACACCATTTCGAAGCAAATACATCCTGAAATTAGATATGTAAGAAAGACAAGTAGGTCTTATCTAAAGAAAAGAAATGAAACAGAGAAAAGTAATTTTGATACCATGAAGAAAGAAAATAGACAGGTAGAAAAACCAGATCGCAACACGACGAACTTTTGTAGTCTGATGTTTTACTATATATACCTGTTTTACAGAACGCCAATAGTCAAATTCTTTTTTTATATGGTATGTTTTTCCCTATTTTTATTTATTTTATACACAAATATATAATTGTATGTGAAGTTTGAAATCAAACTGCATTTTAACACCTTTAACAAAAGTATTTTAATGTACGCGTTTTTATAGCAACTCGTTTAAATGTTACAATCAGTTATTCTTCAAATGTTGAATTTCATACGACGGTTGCCACAAGTCGAGTTAAAATGCTTACCTATTACGAGCACATGATTAACCTGTTGTTTTTTTTTTTTATTTGGGGGGGGGGGGGGGGGGGGGTGTTGGTTAATCTTAAACTTTCTATGTTAAGTCTTGTGTTTCGTCTTTTTCTTTCTTTTTTTTTGGGAGGGGGGGGGGGGGGTGGGGGGTGGCATTTGTGATTTATTTAAGAGTGATGCGTTTAAATGTCCTATTGACATATTTCGCCTGATGTATGAATTATATAGTTGTGATACCTTACTCTTCATTGTTGTATAATGAATCTCCATTTCAATGTTGTAAACACATGAAGCTATCCTAACAGTCTATATAATCCCTTAATTATGCTGTAGCAATTTTGTGATGTTTTCCCTTAGGTTTGACAAATGAGTTTCCATATCAATGAACTCGAACTTTACATAGTGTCAAACAAGGGTATGAAGATCACTTTCAGAATAATAGAAAACTGACTTCATAAGAGTGGTTACCTTTAAATTGCAGAGACACTACTATCATTATACAATGAGAGGGTTACCTACCACGGAAGATTTTACCTATGATATCTTTATAGCAGGTTTTAAAATGTAAAAAATGCTCCTCGACAGCTGTTATACCTTTAAATATATTTAAGTAATTATTATAATATGGCGTAACGTTGATTGTATGTTTGGTCACTTTTGCACACATCTCTGTTAATGGCAAAGAATAATAGATTTTCTCTTTATTCCTAACTTATGGTGAACCTGGCTTTTAATTTACAAACGCACCACATTAAAATGACACGTGTCAAAAAGGTTGATTTCGATAATATATCATGTCACCAAAACATTTGAAATGAACAATTACTGAAAATATTTATGAAATATATGATTAATGAGTCATTGTAGAAGCATTTCTAACAAATGTGTTGTGTAATCAAGGTTTTGTTTTGTTAACATTGTCGGTAAGATACCGCAAAAAATGTTGTGAATTTAAACCGTTCCTAGAAAGTATATTTACAAAATTGTCAAAAAATGTGTTGAAGTCAAAATCATAATCATACATGGCATATTTACAATGATAAACTTAATATGCATATAAAAAGAATATTATCGAAATTATTGTTGTTTTACACAATTGTAGGTATCATATTTCTTTTAGATTACTTACTTAGCATTCGTAGCGATCTTTGCTTGTTTTGTTTTGACGGATATGTACCCATTGTCAGAAAGTTCGCCATCTATACTTGAATATTTGACATGGATCTGGGCGTTGTCATTAGCAATAGAAGAAATAAGACAGGTATGTTAAGTTGTGATATTTGTGAATGAAAGTACTTCGTGAGTAGGACAATTACAGAACAACTATCTTAAATTCCGTTCATGTTAAGTATACTGGTACAGAAAAAAACATTCAGTGGAAAACATTAAAATAATTACTTTGTTATACTGAGCAACTGTACCCCGAACATAAACTTGAGGTTGTCTAAGACAGATTCTTACTACGCGTACTCTTCGTAATTCAATTCTAATTCTGATTACACACATTAGAAATAATTCATATGTGACTCATATATAAAAGTTACTGAACGATATGGATATAGATCGTTCAATTGACTTCAAGTCAAATGTCTAACCTATACTGAACTTACTGCAACGTATCAGTTAACTAAGCAACTCACAATGTCGTTATAATTTATTGTTTAAGTGTCCATTACATATGTTACATTTTATGCTTTAATAAGACACTTGATTTTACATTTAAATTCAGTAATACTCTTTGCATAATTGTTTTCTTCAAATTGTACATAATGATAATCAAGCTTTCTTGATAGACTTGTTATTTCTAAATCAAAAAGAAGACATGTATGTCAAATACATAGTTTAGTCATAAACAATCAACACTTAATTGTTGTTTTTTTTTTACAAATTTGTTATGTTCACCTTATTCAAACAAATGTTTGACATTATTCCATATACAGATGTTACAGACAGACACGGGATCACTTGGAAAGAACATAAGGCTGTGGGCTAAAGATGTTTGGAATATATTCGACGTTGTTATGTATCTCCTATTCCTCATGTCTGTACTTCTAAGATGTTTACTGAATTCTGAACAATTCTACTTTGCCAGATTGACTTATGCAATCACTTTATCGATGTTTATCTTGCGCAGCATGCATTTTTTCTTCGTTACAAGGTATATCGGGCCCAAGGTTATAATGATAGGAAGAATGGTAAGTAAACATTTTAAACAAATATAAGTACCATTATGTATACCGCTACACACTATATATGTCCACCGGTCAATAGTCAGCACCCTGTAGGTCGTTCGTTCTGGTTGTCAGCCATATTTTTATTAAGTTTATGAACTTTTGTATGATTTAATCATTGTTTATTCATAACTGAAATGCTTCAAACAAACTTTTTAATTGTTTGCCACAAATAGTCACTTCACGTTGACTTTCGTTAGAGTCATCTTCACCGATTTCACTAATTTTGATCGCAAACGGCATATCAATATTTCATCAAACTGACTTGATGTGGTTTTTTTATAGATTGCATGCAAGCTATAAGACGCAAGATTTCTTGTGAATAGTGTATTCATGAATTGAATCCTCCTTATGAAACAAACTCACCGACATTTATATAGATGTATTGATTAATTAGTTGACATAATTAGATTACTTTAAGGTTGATATATATTTTTTGGTTCGAATAAAAAAGATCATATTAAACGTGTTGAATAGTTATAGATAATGCATATTTTAAGGTTTTTGAAGAAGTATAACCCAATGAATATGTCAAGAGTGGTCAAATGAAAGATTGATCGTTTGGAGGTTTTTCTTCAAGCAATCCGAAGTTGGTTAAACGGCATGGTAAACCTTTAAATATGCAGCATCTAACTTATATACAGTCAACAATAATTAATTTTTTCAATACTGTTTTATACGAACTATATAATTAAACTACGGAGAATAGCATAGCATTTCAAACAAACTTACGGTTATAGAGACGCAATGTACTAATTATCAAGTGTCTGTCAAAGAAGATGTGGTATGGTTGCCAATAAGACAACTATTCACAAGAGACCAAGTGACACAGAAATTTACAAAGATAGGTCAACATACGACCTTAAACATGGAGAAAAGCCCATACCGCATAGTCAGTTATATAAGGTGTAATACTACCATTGATTTTCCCCTATTAGTCTTTGTTAAATTTGCACTTTTCAAAAAATTGTGCAGACTTTATCTTTGTTTTAAATAAAGAAATACTTGAGTGAAGTTTTATCCTGTCCAGTTCTATAGAAAAAAAATTCACATGACATTTCATTGCATATAAGTAAATAACCATCACTGGAAGTTAACCAATCAACTAACCTGTGTACAAGATTTAGTAACCATGTAACCTCAAGTTTACAAAATATTCTATAGAAACCCAAAATACAAAATTAATTGTGCTTTGAAATACCCAAGACATATGTTTATGACAAAGAAATGTTTTACTGCAATAAAATGTAGGATTAATTACCTACAACTGTCAAATGCAAGGGAATATTTTTTTGACCTATTTTCGTATACAACCGGATGTGACGTACCATGATTTGGTGGTATTACACCTAAAAAGCATCGAAATGACAAATTTGAAACAATTCAAACGAGAAAACTAACGGCCTTTTTTATGTATATAAATTGCTATTTATAACTTTTTTTGGTAAAATAGAGGTAACATTAAAATATGACAAAGGGTATGGAAATTCTAATGAATTTGAACAACATATTTTTTATTCTTTTCGACATCGTTGAACTGTACGATAAGAATTAACATCCGCTTTGCAATATGTAAAATGCAAACCACTAAGAATAAACATTATATTGCATTTTTTATAGCTTGAAGACCTTGCTTTTTTCATTGCGCTGTTCGTGTTGTTCGTATTTAGTTTTGGAATCATGTACCAAGCTGTATTGTTCCCTAATTCGGTGTTGTCCCCTTGGGAACTGTTTAAAGACATTGTATATTTACCATACTGGCAGTTGTACGGCGAGCTTAATTTAGATCGCATTGAAGGTATTCGTTTTCTTTATACGTGGTTTAGTGTTTACAATTAAAACTTCGTTTCTGCAATCTTAATCCCTGCAAATGTTGTCGACATTTAGAGCCTTCTTCTTTGATTATAATTTATTACAGTAGTTATAATTGCTGCTTTTGTTGTATATTTGTTAAACAAAAAGTGCATTTTGTCTTTAATTGACGTGTCTTTTTTTCCAACGATTTAATACAAAACAAAAATAAAAAAGTATAAACACTTCAAGCAACGCAATATAAATATTCTGATAAAAACGAAATATGAATAAAAGCGGTAAGGTATACATTAATGATACTTCAATTCATTAACATGAACAACAAAGAAAAGACAACTTTTCAACATACATGTCTCATGAAAAATGTGCGGATTAAACGAGTAAATTAAAGGAAACAATTGTAAGCAACTTAAGGATCACACTGATTAAAACAATATAGTTATATCAGTTTCATAAAGCTGTTCCGATATTTGTCTCTTCGTCTATTGAATTTGATTTCTCTGTTTGTTCTCATTTAAAATAATTATTTCTAACCTGTCTTTGAAATTTTTATATTACTTAGGAGCAGAACCATCGGAATGTACAAATGACCCTCATTTATATTCTAACGGATCAATGGATCGATGTGCACAAACTAATCAATTTAATTCCCCTCTGCTGGCAGTGTATTTGATTCTGACAAATATTTTGTTAGTCAATATTCTTATAGCGATGTTTTCGTAAGTATACATTGTATAATACATAGAACATGATAAATGGCATATGTTCCATCGAGGTTTTTTCGTATCATAAGATATTTTGACTACACTGTTTTCATAGTTTTGATCAACAATTTGAATTTCTTATTTTTATAGTATTACTTAAAAATTGTTGATTAAAGCTTTTTCTGACATCGTGATAGTTAATCTTGCAAATATGTCTATTGATTTACATTCGAAATGGTTAATTCAGGCAAGCATTTCTGTAATCGTACGTATTCTGCAGACAAAATGGGAGGCATAGCTTATTGACAGTATACGAACGTCAATATTTTACCAAAAGATATGAGGTGCTTCGATCTGTTTATTCATTTTATGCAAGAAATAATTCATGAATCAGAATACAATTGAGCACAGAAATGGGGAATGTGTCAAAGAGACAACAACCCGACCAAAGAGCAGAAAACAGCCGAAGGCCATAAATGTGTCTTCAACACTGCAAGAAATCCCCACACCCGGAGGCGTGCTACCGCTGGTCACTAACCAAAAATGTGTACTTGTTCTGTGATTATGGACGTCATACTTAACTCCGAAATATATGAAATGAACTAAGATAAAAAAAAAAATCATACAAGACTAAAAAAGGCAAGATGCTTCTGACTGGAAACAGGCGCGAAAAGTGCCGCGAGTTAACAATGTTTTGCGAGATATCAACCCTCGCCCATACCTCCAGCTAATGTAGAAAAACACACAGCAATACGCACAGAAAAACCCAGTTTAAAAAAGTTCGAGTCCGATGACAAAATAGGTAACAAAAGAAACTAAAGAAAATGACAATGCTACATACGTTTACAAAGGACTACTAGCAGTTACTTACATGCCAGCTCCAGACCTCAATTAAAATAATTGAGAGATTATGTTTTCATCATTTGAATATCAAGCACAATCCCTCTCGTTAGGAGTTTAGTATCATACCATCATAAAATATATGAGAAGAACATAACCTGATATTTAGGTTACAATATCTATATTACCTCCTCCACATTTGTTTTTTGCAACAAATTGAAATCATATTTCTTGTATTAGTTAGTACTCTTAATGCGCTTTTGATACATACTGTATTGAGTGGAAGTCAAATAGCAGTATTTTATTTGTCTTATTGTTTTTGCTTTCAAAGCGTGAACAATGTTGCTTGTTCCTTTAAATGTGTATTACAGCCTCGTGATGATTTTTATTTATTTGGAACGAAGCAGTCTGATTGCATATATTAACAGTGTTGTCCTTTGTAGTATTTGACATCAGTAGTATGTAATGATGTAAGTCATCATCGACCGTATAAACACATTTAAAATTAGGTCATCAGAGCAGAAGCAGAACGTGAGGTCTGAAGCAACGGTAAAACTATTGTTCTGAGTTTTGAACTTTGCAATAGTTTGATTGATATAATGTAAATGTACATAAACATAAGGTTAAACTTATCTATCATATGAAACCGGTTTGGATTTTCGTTATCATTTCAAGTCCAATGTCTCCCTTATGTCAAAATGAAACACATATAAACCACACAGTGTTTAAATAAGTCAAACGTAAGGTATCATGTATTACGAGACTGACTTCTTTCAAACAGGACATAGCTGATTGTCTCAATAATTTAAAAAAAAAGGAACTAAACATATATATGAAGCGGTATAATTATAATCTGTTGCAATATTTAAAGTAACATATGAGGTAGAAAGACCTTAGATTATTTTGACCGGTTGATGTTGAATTGTGTTTGCTTTTTAACAAGGTGATAATGCAATTGCCAACATATTCGAAATATTTGAAAAATGCCATTTTGTTTTTGTTTCTTATATATGTATATAGTAATGAATATCTATATGGTGCCTCCTTCTTCTGAAGTAAATGTAGCATAACGACACATTGTGAATTTCGTAAACTTTATTTTTTACAGGCATACATTCCAAAAAGTACAAGATAATTCTGAAATTATTTGGAAGTTCCACATGTATGCATTGGTATATGAATACTATGACAGGCCAATGTTTCCTATTCCAATAGTAATACATTTATGTCGAATCGTTGTATTCTGTTATGACAAAATACAAGATTACAGATTACGAAATTGCAAAGAAAGGAAAACTATGTATGCAAGCGCCTTTAGTAAGTATTTTAAAATACACGATTTCATATCATGGCAGTGTAATGCCGTATTAAAACAATGACATTGTAGACAGATTTTAGTACAACCAATATACAAATGTGAACCATTTGATGTGTTGCATAAACATGTACATAACAATAACTACTATTATTAACTTGTACTAAATATTCTACAAATATTGTCATTAGATTGCCATCTTTATGTTTCGATATCTTAAATTACAAAAAGGGCAGTAGAGGTAGCGTCTATGTAGATGTAATTTCCAAACAGCAAAAGATATATTGAAGTATTACAATGGCTCTCTGCATAGATCGTTCACTACTGAAATAAGAACTTGTATACAAATTGAACTGTCTGTATAACTTATATCAACAAAACCAGTTGGCACCTCCAACATTTCTTCCTTTTATGAGTTAAAGGTCGTATCAATTACTCTTCTTGCTGCTATCAATCAACAAAAACCTTTATATATTTCTATTATCATGTCATGTTTGAATGGATTCATTGAAAAGTAACATGAACATTTTTTTGTAGTATTAAAATATGACAAAGAAGAAATTGAAAAACTACGTATTGTTGAAAACCTTGCAGTACAAACTTTTCTAAATGGACCTTACCGTGCAAAAAGTAGATATATTGCTAGGAACATGATGACCGATGAAAGGTAAATCTTTGAGACAAATAAGTAGACGAACGTTTAGCAACACAGTTGAGCTTTTTTGTCGTCAGGATTTTAAATTGTTTGACGGTTTTACAAATCAAAGTGAAATGCTGTTCATTTATAATCTGTATTCGTTTGCGCATAATCACGTGCATGGGTAATACAAATTTTACTCTTTAAGCGAATGTAGGTCAGTTTTTCTTCTATCTGTAGCCTATGTTATAATGATATATACCATATATATGATATGAAAATAAAGAGATATTTATCTAGTAATTTTTCCAACAGCATTTTAATAATACATTTCTAAATATGATTTTAGTTGCTTACTCTTGATAGATTGGAAATCAGCATATTTGTAGTTAAACATTGGTAAACATTCAAAATTCAGACGCTTCTACGAAATAAAAAAACAAATATCTCATGTCATTACAATATACGATAATAGATTAAAGCAAACTTTCATTTATGTTTATCACAACAGCTTTAGATAGACCAAACAAACTGTTATATATTTGTGAACATCTTTTAGTCAATTCTAAGACAGGAAATAAATATCATTTGGTTATATTAAACCCATTCGCTGTTTATCAATTAACATCTGTTCATATGTATACGTTGTTTCATTTAACAGCATGTTCAGTGCTTATTTAGAACGAAGAACACATCTGACAAATGCTTATAACTCGAAATAGACTAAGTCTATTTTAATTCCGCCTTTTTTTACGTTGTTTATGTCAAAATAGTAATCTTTGACTAAAATAGTTTACTAGTGAATATATCTTATTCGCATATTTCTTGTAGAGCACATATTTTGATTTATTGCGATATCATCATCATTTGATCTTGAAGAAACACTCCCGATCATGTTTAGATAGTCAACAAAGTGATGAGGTTAACTTCTTATTTGCTTAAAAATTGTATCGAACATGTAAGGCTTATGTTAGGCAAAATGTTTATAATATATCTTATTTATTTTATCCTAAAACGTTATACACACTCGAGTTATGAATACGAATATTTGGCATATAAATAGCTAAATAGGCTAATGCTGTATTTGTTTAGTCTTACCACATGAAACATTTGCATTTGTAATTATTGCTTTGTACATTTTATACAGAGATATGAATAAAGAAACCGATGCAACCCCTGCCCAGCACGACATAGAGGTTTTACAAGAGGAAATGCATCGAATGAGAGAATCTATGATTAATGAGATGCAAAATTTGCGTTTACGGCAACCAATTTTAATAGTAGAGGTTCCAAAGCAATAACAATCCTTTGAATATGATTGAATACAATTTGAATAATACAAATCTGAAGCAGTTTTAACTTATATTAGCATTGTAAAATGTCGCTACTTTGAATCAAGATTATACTTTAGGCTATAAAAACCTCAATGAGACACACTCTAAAATAGACTGGTAGTTCAATTATTTAGTGTATGTGTGTGTTTTACTTGGGTGTGCATTTTTTTTTTTTGGTTATGTGTGTGTTTTAATAACTGCAAAAATGTCTTATAAGACTTAAATGAAACTAGACACACGTTTTTGTTGCCTTACTATTGACTGATTAGATTGGTTAAAATTTTAGAATCGATAATATTAAGGCTTTATTTCGATGTAATATCTTCCAGTATATCTACAGTGTAGATTGAAGTTCAATGATTTTCATATTTGAACATTAAATACAAACAATTTGCTATCGAAGGAGCCTTCTAAATGCATCTTTCATTTGATGCGACGGTCATACAAGTGAAATGTTTAGCTGGCTATAAAACCAGGTTTAATCCACCATTTTCTACATAAGAAAATGCCTGTACCAAGTCAGAAATATGACAATCGTTTGCTGTGTTTTAGCTTTTGATTTTGCCATTTGATTAGGGACTTTCCGTTTTGAATTTTCCTCGGAGCTCAGTTTTTTTTGTGATTTTACTTTTTGCATAATTATTTCAAAATAAGGAAATACATTTTTGTCTTCTGTATTGCATATTGAATTACCAACAGATGAACGCCTAAGCTCTTAATAAAGCTAACAAAGACATGCCTGTTATTTTTTGTGTATCCTTGCATATATTTCATCTTAGTTTTGAAGCATCGGTATATGAAAAAAAAACATGCATACATTGTTTTTAACTAAAATGGAAAAAGAAACCGCAAGATTAATTAAGAACTCAAAAAATCAAATTATTCATTTAATAGCAATATATATTTCATACTGTAATAAAATACAAGTATTATGTATATTTTTCTATATATTAAAGTATTTAAAAATTTATGATTACGTTTTACGAGTCATTTAGAAAAAGAAGATTGTAGACATTTAATTATAAAACGGTACGTGATGGCTATCAGCAGGTTATCAAACTCAACTTAAAAAAAATAAACATAATTTACTACCAGCCTTCAGCTTTTGTGCATTGTAATAAGTGGTTATAAGAAGAACTGGAATGAGTGCAAATGAGACAACTCTTCGTCCAAGTCACAATTTGTAATGATAAACCATCATAGGTAAAAATAAGTCCTCCAACAGGGAGTCCTGGCTCACTCCAAACAGCAAGCTATCAAGAGCTCAAAATATAACTAGTGTAAAACCAATCAAACAGGAAACACCAACAGTCTTATCTATATAAAAACGACAACCAAAACAGGTTCATGACTTAGAACCTGTTTAAACAAATGCAGCGGGTTTAAACATATTAATAGGCGACATCCTTCACCCTAGTCTGACAAAATAGAAAGACCATTATGAAATGCTAATTGCATTGGCGTAACTCAATCAACAGACCTGTCAACAAAAACAAGTAAACACACACTTAACCAATAAATTTGATCTTTGCCACAATATAAATACAAAATTCATAAAAAAAAACAGACGAGATGTAAAACAAAATCAGAAATACAATAATTATTATGACCTTGGACAAAAAATGCTGTTAAATGAAACAACGTATACATATGAATAAAACACATTTTGTTGTAAGGAGTACATGGAGCACGGAAATGATTTTTATAAAATAAATATTTTTATTGTTGATAGTACAGAATAGCAGTATATCGTCATACTAAATACTTATCAAAGGTATATATTACAAATAATGAGACGAGAAATAATTTGAAATAAGTAAACTTTAAAAAAACAAAAATGCATTACGAATTGTACCAATAGGTCAAATTAATACGGAAGTCTGAATTTTGAGTACTCGCAGTTACTGAAACTATTTAATTCAAACTAATAATAAAATAATCCCGTTTGTCCCACTTATTTAATACCACACGTAGGCTGGGTTCAAGTTACCACATAGATGTGCACATTTACCAAGAAATTATTAACTATGTAAGAAGTCAAAACTGTCGAGCAATTGTGTCTGGAATATTGCCAAGGATACAATGTGATGTCACTGAATATGACACAATCCTAAAACAAATGTGTCAGCATAATGATGTCAAATTTATATCAAATTATGAATATTTTGTCTACAAGGATGATCATATAGCTAAAATCAGTTTACACTATAGATGGCATTCATCTAAATAGATATGGAACAATAAAGCTGTTGACAAATGTAAATAAAATAATTAAAGTATTCAAGGGAAAACCACAACAGTATCATTTGAACCAACAAAACAGAAATAGATTCCAAAGTTCCGGTCACCAATATTACACAAACAACTTCAGAAGGAGCCCTATAAAACCAAGACATCAATCACGGAGTAACATGAACACAACAGAAAGCAGAAGAAATTTCAACCATTCAGGAGTCAACACTAAAAACGTAAAGGACAGGAATGATCTCAATATGAATTCTCGTGACTCGTGGGGAAACAATATTGCGCTAAATAGACAAAATGTAGATAGAGCACCATTTTTTGACTTCCATTTACCAAATTCTGTACGTAAGTCAGATTATATTCAGAGGTAGCATTTAGCTTGTTCTAATTTTTAAAACAGATATAATATTTTAAATCTGTTATGTGATCAATGTAGTAGTATACAATGTACATGTTACATAAACAACATTAATAATATTAATTGGGGAAAATCTCAAAAGAGAAATAGAAAGAGTCAAAATTAAACACATAGTTCTGTAAATAGAAGTAGAAATAATGAAGCAAGTTGGTTACTTAAAAAAGGGTTTAAACTAGGTTGTTTAAATATTCAATATTTACAACCCAAAATTGAGGAAATAAAATTATTTGATATATTTGGTATGGTAGAAACATTTTTAAATGATGAAATTGGTACCGAAACATTACAAATTGAAGATTACAAAATAGAAAGAAAAGATAGAAACGCTATTAATGATGGCGGAGGTGTGATTGCGTACATACGAAATAGTGTATGTCACCAGAGAAGAATCGATTTAGAAATAGGTAGTATTGAATCTTTATGGATTGAAATTATTTTTCCAAACAGAAACTCTATTTTAATAGGCATTTTTTATCGTCCACCGAGTTCATTGCAATCTTGGGTTGATTCAGTTGAAAAAGAAATAGAAAAAGCGTCAGCAGAAAATAAAGAAATTATACTTTTAGAAGATTTCAATATAAACTATTCACATATAGATCATACAGTTGTCGGAAATCAAAAATTGAAGGACTGTATTAATTTGTATGGTTTACAACAAATTGTACATAAACGCACAAGAGTTACAGATAAATGTGTAACTACTATAGACCATATTTATACTACCCATGTAGACCATATTACAAAAGTAAATGTGCCTAGTTATGCTGTCAGTGATCATTATCCTGTTTGTGTAACAAGTAAACTTAACCCAAAAATATCAAAAATGGAGCATTTGTCAATAGAATATAGATCATTCAAACAATTTGATACAAATAAATGTATTGAAAATTTAACAAATACTCCTTCTCATCTCATTGAATCGATTGGAGATGTTGATGAAGCAGCTAATTCTTGGTATAATCTATTTCTGAGCACCCTAGACAAGCGTGCTCCTAAGAAAATTAAAAGGGTGAAAAATACTCAACAACCAGAGTGGTGGACTTCTGATATGAATAGCGATAGACACCAAAGAGATTATTTTCATAGAATTGGGGATATATATAATTATAAAATTTGGCGTAATAAGGTTACATTTTTAGTAGAACAGGCAAAGAAACATTATTTCCAAAATGCTATCTCAAATTGTAAAGATAGTAAAACTATCTGGAAGTATGTCGAAAGTCTAAATCCCAAAAAATTACATAATAATATCACGCATTTGGAATATAAAAATAGTGTAATTCACAATGATGTTGATATAGCAAATACATTTAATGTGCATTTTACAAATATTGCTGAAGGTATAGTTGATAACAAATTATGTAATAATGATGAAGGTCCAAGTTTCGATGTACTCAACACATTTGTGAAATCAAAGTTACAAAGGGGTAGTGAAAAATTCATTATACAAGAAATGAGTATTTTAGATGTAAAAATGTATTTAAAAAAAACTTGACAAGTCTAAAGCAACTGGTTTAGATGATGTTGGACCAAATATTTTGAGTATGCGCAGCGATGTCATTGCACCAGCTTTAACATATTTATTTAATCTAAGCATCAAATGTGGTAAATTTCCAAGTATTTTTAAAACTGCAAGAGTTTGCCCAATTTTTAAAAGTGGCGATGCTTGTAATTCTGATAATTATAGACCAATAGCAGTTTTGCCTTGTCTCTCCAAAATCATAGAACGACATAAAGCTGATAGTTTGTATATATATATTTAAATAGTAATGACCTTTTTAATACTACACAGTCAGGTTTCAGACCTAAACATTCGTGCACAACTGCACTTACTAAATTAGTAGATGAATGGTTAGCAAATATAGATTATGGAGAAAAAAACGGAGTTATATTTTTAGATTTAAAGAAAGCTTTTGATCTGGTTAATCATATTATCTTATTAAAAAAGCTTGAATATTATAATGTTTCAAACTGTACACTAGACTGGTTTAAGTCATACTTGTTTGAACAAAGTCAACAAGTTAAGGTCAATAACGTCATGTCTAATACTAAATGCATAAAAACTGGTGTACCACAAGGCTCTATCCTTGGCCCTCTGTTATTTATTTTATATATCAATGATTTACCACTGAACATAAAAACTTCATTAATAGATTTATATGCAGATGATTCTACATTACATAGTAAAGGTAATAATGTACTTCAGTTAACTGCTAACCTTCAAAATGATATTCATGTAATTGAAAACTGGTGTTTGCAAAATTGTATGAAACTAAATGCCAAAAAGTGTAAATCAATAATTATTGGTTCAAAACAGAGGCTTTATTCAACTAGGAACAGTTTAGATATCAAAATTTCAGATGAACAAATAGAGAATGTAGATTGTGAAAAATTTCTCGGTCTATATATCGACAAAAACCTAAATTGGAATGAGCAAAAAAAAAGGAACTTTTCGTCGAAAAAAAAACCCTACAATACATCAATAAACAGTACGCATCTCATGTTGAATTATCATAACTTAGTCAGTGAGTTTTACAATGAAAAACACAATTACAGATTCCAAAAAGCTGATTTTTTGACATTGTGTGATTTTTATAACTAAGAAATTGAAGGTATATAAGTATAAAAATTTACCTTAAGCAGAAGAAAAACTCAATGTTTGTACAATTTATCCTGTTTGTCCCCACAAAACTGTGTTTATGTTATTTCATTCCATCCTTTGAAATAACTGATGTAGTAAAAATGACATGTGTGCAGTCTTCTGAATCTCGTTGAACTATTAAAATTCAGACAAGTTTGTTTAAATGTACTGTTCAACTTTCAGATATTTTAGATAATATTGCTCTATTTCCAAATGTAACCGTACAAGTAATAAAACTTGTGGTATACTATTATCTGATACCCACTTTCAAAGTAATTTGACCACCAAAAATTAACAATACAGACATGCAGATTTAAATTACACTGCTTCCAATATTGTGTACGGTATTGAATGTGCTCTTTTTGGATTGATCTACGTCAGAGAATATCTAAAAAGACTCAATTTTAGAATGAATGACCATCGGTTTAATGTTAATGATATTAATGGTAATTGATAACAACAAATTTATGTATTAACATTTCAATCAGCCTTACCACTTTATTGTTTCAATGAAAGTCCGGATTATAGTGAAAATATAGCATTCAGCAAATGACCCCATATTGAGTACACCATATCTTTTACAAAGAAAAAACTTTTGAATAAGAGAGTTGGAAACAGCCATTCTCTATGGATGCAACGACAACATTGATTGTGTAGGCATTTTGTC